CGGTTTGCTCTTTTTTTAAGCTAATTGCACTGTACTAATAGGGAATTTCGCTAAAACCATGTAAATATATAATATTTATTAATTGTTCAGAATAATTGTAAATTATTATTTCTATCGTTATTTTACTGTATGAAGATTAGTTAGTTCTCTTTGTTTGGAATATTTAACTACTGTAAAACATACCAAATACAATTATATTCGGCAATCCCTACGAAAGAAAAACTGAAAAAGGGAGTGTTTATCTATGACGTTTTATTAATACCCCCGCCGCAGCAAACCTGCCGACTAAGCGAATTTCCATTTGTCTGAATTGATTTTCAGTTAAATATACATATATTATTATAATAAGTATGGTTATGATTAGGGCTACTACTATATTAATAATTGAAAACATTATAACAACATTAAGTACCCTTTTAAATTCATTTAAATTAACAAACGACATGTTTCGACACTTAGGTCATAGTCGTGTTTTTATACAAATACAATAACAAATTAATGAAAGGAATAAATATAGTCATATGTTAAGTTAACTTAAAATTTAGAGGATCTTGATCTACTCTTTGTTTAATTTTGCATATATTATGTAATATTTCTGTTTTATTGCAATTGTAGGATGTTTTCGAATATCGGATTTGTTTTGTTGATGATCATGGTATTCAGTAAATTTTGAGAAAATCTTTTGTAATTTGTGTATATATGAAAATCTTCTTTGACATTTAATTTTGTTTTATTTCTTTCATATTCTAGAATTTCTACATTTTCATTTATATTTTTGTATTCATGTCGAGTTTCGATTAGGTGCTCTGCAAAATTTGATTTCATTGTCGTTTTGTTACCTGATTTTAACTCTTTTATATGTTCTTTGAACCTTTTTTTAAAGCTACGACTTGTTTGGCCAATGTAGGATTTATTACAGTCTGAACATTTAATTTGATAAATGCCTGATTTGTTTATATCTTTAACTTGGTTGTTGTTATATGCTTCATTAGAAATTTTGTTTTTTATCATCTGAAAGGCATTATTTTTTGTTCTGTAACTTATTTTCAAATTAGAATTTTGGAAGGTTTATCTTGTTGCTTTCTTTATGGTTGTACTATGGGGTATGCAAATATATTCTTTTCTATTGTTTTCTTCAATCAATCTTTGTGTTTCAAATTTCTTCTAAATTTTCTTTCGAATCATTTTTTCAGTTATAGAAGATTTGTACCCATTTTCAAGGCTAAATATAGGATGATGTTTTTCTCTTTTTCAAAATCTTTGCTTGACATTGGTATATTTACTAATCGATGTGTCATTGAATGAAAAGTTGACAATTTGTGCTGCCACGGGTGATTTGAATTTGATGGTATGATTATGACTGTTGTAGATGGTTTTCGGTATATTTTAAACTTATGCATGTGTCTTTCTTTCGAAATTGTTATGTCTAGAAAGTTGATTTGTGAATTTTGGATTTCATTAGAGAATTTAATTTGCGATGAAAGAGAATTTATGTGTTTATGTAGTCTTCTGCTTCAATTTGAGTGCCTTCAAATAGGCAAAGAATATCATCAACATATCGGTACCAATATAATATTTTTGATTTGTAAGGATTTGTTTCGTTTAAAATCTTGGTTGTTTCTAGATTGTTCATGTAAATATCTGCTAAAAGTCCAGAGAGGGGAGAGTCCATGGGTAAACCGTCTTCTTGTATGTAAAATGAATTGTTGTATTAAAAATAATTTTGGTTTAGTGTAACTTTTGTTAGTTTGATTACATCATTAATTTGAGGTCTTGTTAGTGTTCCATGGTCGATTAATTGTTGTTCGAGTATCTAAATGGTTTCATCTATAGGTATGTTTGTATACATGTCATTTACATCAAATGAAAGAAACAATGAGTTCTGTGGTATATTAATATCTTTAATTTTGTCTATCAATTCGTATGTATTAGATACATTGACAGTTTTGTTCAAATTTATATTGATTTTTTTTACTGTGTAAATATTTACATAAATTGTAAGTAGGGGCTTGTCGAAAATTGTCTATTGGTCTAATTGGGATGTCTTGTTTGTGCGTTTTTGGTTGTGCTCGTAATGTAAGGGATTTTGGATTTGGCATTTTCAAAGATATTTTGTCTTTTTGTGTGATGCTTTGTAACGAGTTATTATTCCTAGGGGGGTAAATATTTGCTATTTGACCGCGCACCTATTGCTGGCATCAGCAAGTGGCGGCGGCGAAGCTAGCGAGCGCCCTTTGGCCCGGCTTTTGGCCTAGTGGTTTCCCTGACCTTAAAACAACGTACATCCTTTCCACCATCTACCACTTTCTCAGCCATTACAGCCTTTGTTCACGGACCAAGTTATCGTTAAAATGTACTCGCTGCCCAATCGACTTGGCCTCAAGGGATGGTCTCTAAAAATTATGCCTTTCAACCGCGGCCGTTTCAAAACACTTTTCAGCCTTCTTCTTGGGAACATAGGCGGTTTCCAAAACCAGCGCTACGTTTGGGGAAGGAGGAGGTCTAAAGGCCGCCTTCTCGCGCATATAAGCATCATAATCTTCGGCCAACTCAACCATCTCGGCCAGGTTCCTGAAGTCACGCCGGCGTACCATGAGTTTGTATTCCGGACGCATGTTGCTGTAGATTAAAAAAAAGTCCAATCTACCATGCTCTGACAACGTACCGCTACGCCTAAGCAAGGTACTTATGGCCACGACATAATCTCGGAAGTGTTCGGTCTCACCCTGCGTCCTTTTCCGGATCTCCTCATCCAAATTCCTCTGATAACCAGGTGGAAGGAACTGGATCTCAAATTGATGCCGGAAAGCTTCAAAAGAATACAGGAGCTCCTTGCAGTTCCTATACCAAAGAAGTGCTGAACCTTGCAGCAGCTCCGGTAGCGCTCTGAGCAGGTCCTCCGACGATATAGAGTACGAGACCATCAGCTCTTCAAGACGCTCCAGGAATGACACAGGGTCTCTACGTCCATCAAACTTCAAACCCCACTTTCGGACCATGTCACATATCTTGGAGCAATTCTTCGGCTCCACCCTGCTGGCCTCATTCGAGAGCATACCCGAGCCTCGTGGCAGCTCCAAGCTAGAAGGCCGGGCTGGTCTCTCAGAACTATCATCGGGCCGCTGCCATCCCTCGGGTCTACTAGGTAACCCAAAGGTAGGCAAGGGAGCAGCCACAACAGGGAACGTAGGGTTGGCGGGTCTTCCGAACCCATAGCCGACCCCATCACTCGGCGAGCCTCTCGCCTGTCGCACCACCGATGCCAGATATTCTCGAAGAGTCCGGGTATCAGTCTCCAAAGACAACCCAAGAATCTCTTTGACCGCCTCTAACTCCCTGCCAAGTTCAAATATCTCTGTTTGGCCCGATGCAGTACTAACCAGTACCTGAGGTACGGTTCTCGGGGGGTCAGAAAGTCCCATAGTGGTAATAGCCGGCGGTAAATATGTCGGTGCAGCAGCCCCAGCCATCGTACACAGCCTATCATCGCTGTACCGGCGGGCATTCCGCTGCTTCCAAAACGACGAGAATCTCTGCCGTAATTCCGCAGAAGTACCAGTGGTCACCAAACCATACTGGTCCATCGTCCTTATGAGCTCCCCTTTCGAGAGGTCATAGATCCAACCCACGCGACCGCCCCGGGGCTGCGACCCCAAGGACATAGTCGCTGGCGTGGAATAGGTCAAAGACGTTGTCACCGTCGTACCCACGACCGATGAAATAGTCGGCCAAACGGGCGAAGACGCAGGCCACAATGACGACCTCGTCATCACCGACAGTTCGGAGCTAACCCCAGAACTAGTTGTAACAATAGCAGACGTGATAGGCGTACCGCCCAGCACAGACGTCGTATTTGTAGTCGCAACCATATTTAAAACTCAAATCCCACGACAAATCCGCAAAAATAAGAGCGAAACCAATTAAAATGTATTTAACACCGTACCATTAAATCAAACCAATTATAGGTGTGAAAGTCCAACCACAAATACACAAAAAGGGTTCTCACTCAAATAATATTCAACACTAAAGCTCAATTAATTAGCAAAATAATATTTACTAACTAATATCTATGTATACAACCACTAAATAAATTAGGGTTTACAACACACCACACTGTAACAGAAAACAGGTTAGGCCTACCCAACCGACTATAAAATCACAGCAGGTCTGCCTAAAACTCTGCTAAACAGCTCAGGTCCGCAGCCAATCTGCACAAGTCCGCAGAAAAATCTGCACAAATAAAATTCTTTTGTTCGGGCGCCGTTAATACGTCAGCAACTCAGCACCACTGCCAACCTCAGTCCCTGTTCGCAGGCGTAATCTTGAGACGAGATTTTTTTTACTGGGAAAAATAATAAAATTAAAAGTGCATGCAGTCGCAACCGTTTGCCGGGGATAGCTCAGCCTACAATGGCTGGGTAAAGTTCCAGGGTCTGCGACAAGGTCAGGGAAACCACTAGGCCAAAAGCCGGGTCAAAGGGCGCTCGCTAGCTTCGCCGCCGCCGCTTGCTGATGCCAGCAATAGGTGCGCGGTCAAATAGCAAATATTTACCCCCCTAGGAATAATAACTCGTTACAGCTTTTACATTTTGATATTGTTGTATTTGTATTTTTTGTGCATGTTTCTGTTGGGTCTTTTGTTAATAATTTAAATTTACCCTTTTCAAGATAAGTACTAACCTTATGTTGGTAATCATTTTTCTTTATAACAACTATTGAATTTACTTTGTCATTTTGTGTTAATATTGCATTATTTTCTTTTAATTTTTCAGCTATAGAATCAATAAGAGATAGGTCTTCTTTGGTTTTTCTTTTGGAATTTGGTCGTTTGTTTTCCAATTTTAATTTATTTACTTCATGTATAAGGTTGTGTCTAAAGTGTTCTTGTCGGTCGTCTTCTTGTTGTCTTATGGATATTTCTAAGTTAAGTAAATCTTCTTTTATGTTATGTTTTTAATGGTCTAGATTTAGATTATATTTAGATGTATATATTTTCTTACCGTATCGACTAAATCGGCTACCTTGGACATCAGCCACACCCATGTCACTTTAAATGACTGAAAAATACAAATGCACATATTAAAAACTTAGACAGTAATCTTCACAGATGGGATTATATGTTACGAATAATTGAGTATGTTATAGACATCTCAGAAACAAAAGAACCCTGGGCCATTTCGGCCCGCACACGATTGAAGGGTACGCCACACCTACTGGCCCAAACCACGTGATCTTTTCGTTTCTGCGCAGGTTGTTTTGTTCTTCGGATGTCTATAAGTAAAAATATAGTGAAACAAAACTGCGCTCAAGACATAGTTTTGCCACTGTTTATTTAACAAAAACGTCTTTCTCTAAATTTATGTCTCATACATTTCTCAGAACACAACCTTACTTATACACTATAGTATAAATTGTTGGTTTCATAATTTTGCAGCGTTGCCAATTCGAAGGGAATTTGGGCCTTCGAGGGTATTTTCGAGGGTAATTAATTTTTAAGGGTAAAAAGGGGTATTTTCAACAACCCAAGTCCAACATATATTAATACCGTAATAATAATTCATTTATGTTAATAATAATCATAATAATAATAATTAGTAATTCATTAATGTATTTATGTCCATAATTATTGTTATTACTCAGGAATGTGTTGCACAGTCTGATGCATGATTCATGAGTGTTTAACTCTGTGGCGTTTCTCGTCGTCCCGTCTTCGTCATCCATCGGGATTCGTGAAATTGAAACGTTGTGGAATTTGCTTATTCATTCCCATTCCCGTTGTCTTTCCAGTCTCCACTCCGTTCGCTAACCGGCTTTCGTAGTTCAGTTGATAGAATATTAGTAGTTTTGTTTGTTTGTTGGCGAAGCGTGAAAATGAAAATTGAAGCAGTAAAGTGTAAAGTGAATTGTTAGATTCTTTTTTGGAGATTAGTGAAGCGGTATATTAAGTTTATTCGTTGATGTTCCTAATTTTTTTGGACCAGATATGTGTTTGGACTGTATTTATCCAATGTAGGCTACTTATATGATGATGATTTAGACATTTTATAAACTCAAGGTTTTAAATGTAGTCCTACTTCAGTATGTAAAGTTGGCTTGTGGTTGTATTTTTCTGTTGTGTAGACCTAGAACCAACAAACTTTGGTAGTTTAATGAATAGCCTATTTTTAACGAACATCGTAATAAGTAGGCCCTAGCTTACTGTAGACTTAGCCTAGTAGACTTTGTAAAAGGTTGAGTGATTTTGACATATTAACTTTGCGATAAGTGAAGGTGCTTTTTACTGACCAACAGATATATTTATTAACCACCAGACTTCTAGCATTATCTAAGACTTGACCCTAGCCTACTAACTAAGCCTAATACCTTCTCTTTAATGTGTAAACATCTTTTTAACAAGCAATATTGAATAGTGATTACGGTATAATGCGTAACTGCCTCTTAAAGTTTTCAAAAGCCAAACAAGATCGTAATAAAGAGGATGGCAGGCCTGGATCCTCAAACACAAAAACGCCTGAACCTAAACCTGGCACAAGTTCGACACCTGATGTGTTACCGGCCGTTGAATTAGACGATGATGACCCGGATGATCCGGCACCAATTTCTGACTTTGATTCTATTGATACCCACGAGCCTTTGTCGGGGAATCAGAAGGAAAAAAGACAAATTTAGGGAAAAGCAAATACAAAGCCAGTGAGCTAAGATTTGTTCAATGTTGGTTAAAGTTACCTCTCTTTACCAACTGGCTTGAAAAAGCAAAAAGCAAAAGAAAAAGGTTATGACATGGATTATTGCAGGATATGCGACACTAAATTGACAGCCCATAAGACAGAGCTTCGTAGGCATTCAAAGAGTGCAAGGCATGTTAAGCGGAGTAGGGAAATTGTGTCAAACAAGGATTTTACGAAAATGATTGCAGAAGGGAAAATTGATGACCAAATTAAAAGGGCTGAAATAAGATTAGCAGGGCTTATAGCAGTGAACAATTTACCATTCTCTGTAATGGATACCCTCTCACCTATGATACAAGATATTGGCCCTGATTCCAAAGTTGCAGAAAAATTAGCAAAGAGATGAACAAAAACTACCAATGTTATAAAGCAAACCTTGGGGAGGACATTTTTATAGCTTCTCTATAACAAATTAGGTGAGCCAGGGTCTTTTTTTCTCTAATCATGGATGAGACAACAGACATTGGAACTAAGAAACAATGTGCTCTGTCAGTAATGTATTGTGACAAAAGAACTGGTTCAGTAAAAACCAGTTTTTTGACATGTATGAAACAGTGTCCAGTAAGGTTGAAGACCTTTTCAATTCAATGGTGACTTGTGTTTTAGAAAAGAACATTCCAATCGAAAATTTAGTTGGTTCTAGTGCCGATACCACCAATTCGATGGTGGGACAGCACCATTCAGTGTTTTCTTTTTTGAAAGAGAAGTACCCGCAAGTAGTTTGTGTCAAATGGTCGTGCCATATGGCTCATTTGGCAGCTAGCAAAGCTTGTCTTAAACTACCAAATGAAATCGAAGATCTCTTGAGAAATTTGGCATCACATTTCAACAAAAGTTTTCCTAGCACTAAAAGAGTTTAAATTATTCTTTGCAACTGAGGTACACAATATACTGTCACCTTCGATTACTCGTTGGTTATCCTTAAAACAATGTGTGGATCATGTGATAGAACAGTTTGAGCCGTTGAAAGCTTATTTAAATCTATTTTTGTTTGAAGAACCTTCATCTACAGTTCGGAGCATGGTTGTGTGTATGAACAATAGATTCACAAATGTTTATTTAGAGTTCTTGGCATATGTTTTAGGAATAGTCACTGATAGAAGCTTTTTTAATAAACTGCATGAATGTCTACACTGAATTGGTTTCACAGATCAAATCAAGATTCAACTTTTCTGACGGTGTTTTTGACCGCATAAAAATAGTAGATCCCAAAACTCCCCAAGAATTCAAAATTAAGAGTCTCATTCATGTTTTTCAAAGATTCCCAGTCCTGAAAAATATAGTTGATCCTCAAAAAGTTGATTCAGAGTGGAAGCTACATGCATTGAAGTGGAAGGAAATCAAAGAACTCGAAGCAGCAACACAAAATGTAACACATAATGAACATGCTGACAGATATTGGAGTAAGATGTTTAAAGTAAAAAATGCAGTAGGTGAACATTATTTCCAAATTTACAAAAAGTTATAGAATTATTACTGGTTTTTCCTTTCTCCAATGCGCCTGTAGAAAGAGTTTTCAGCAATTTTAAACGGATGCAAAACTAATGACATGAATAAATTAAAAACTGAGACTGTTGTGGCTCTCATGGGAGCAAAACAAGGTATTGAAAGTGTGGGTGGGTGTGTCAAATTTGAACCCACGAAGGAGATGTTGAGGAAAAACATTTGAAAAAAAAAAACTAAGTGAGATAAATAGTGAGTAAACTGTAAATAGTATAGTGAGGAACATTTTATCATTACTTAAGTTGGTAAGTTGTAAATTAAGTTTTTTGTTAGTTATAGGCAAGAATAAACATAGGCCTAATTTTAACCCTATTTTGCTGTCAAAGAATAATAATATATATGGGCCCAAGAATAAATTTGTTACTGTGTCTGCTTTAGGTAGAATATTGTCCAGTAACATAGTAAATATTTAATACAAGTAGGTCTTATGAGTTTTATGTTGGATTTGTTAGGCATGATTTGGCTAATGGTAAATCTTTAATATCTGGATGGTTTGTAGTGCTCTTGACGCATGGCTTTAGGATTTTAGCCAGTTCTAATTAGGTTCCTGTAATGTGTTTATATTTTGAACTCTTCAACTCTTAATAGCTTAAGCATTGAACCTTGATTTTAAAAATAGTCTACATTTTTCAATACAAAGTCAATACTTGATAGTCAATACAGAGCCTAGTACGATAACAGGTTCTCGTGTTGCGACGTTTGTGGTTTACGAGGATGGACTTTATTAGCAAACAGGAGGTACTTCATTTGTACTTACAAACAGCCTGAGAGCTTGGTTCCGAGGAGGATAGGACGGACTGCAAGCTTCTTGCATCATGTAACCAAACATCTTTGACTCGCTGAAATACTAAAATTATAATGAACATTTATATTTCAACCAAACATAATAATGTAAAGTTATAGAAGTACAATAAACAGGACAAAATGGAAATTATTCTTTAATAGGGTTATAAGATAATTTTTAGAAATTTTATGATTTTTTGATAATATCAACAAATGCCAGAAGCACGTAAGAACGTGCGTATCAACGTAAGAACCACAAAAAACTTTGAAGGATTCCTTTCCAACCCGCTGATTGCAGAAAACCAAACCCGTCTCTCTCGCGTAACAGCACACCCCAAGGAATCGCAAAATGTGCGATAAAAAATCTTTATAGATACAAATATATGCTTATTATATGTACTTATGCTAAAAATAAGTACATACATAGTATTTAATATTATGTATGTACTTAATTTAAGCATAAGTACACATAATACGCATGTATTTTTGAATATTAATTCTTTATGTTTTATGTATGAATCTTTTATTTTACGATTTGTCTTTAGCATTAGTCATTTCATGATAAGCATAAATGTACAAGTAGGATGTATAATGTACAAGGCTAAATTTATAACGAAGAAATTACGGCTTTCTATTTTTGTCACAAACAACAAACCTGACAGTAGGAGGACTTGCAAATAAATACAAGCTTAGTATACACACATCAAACAAAAAGAGGATTAGAGATCTAAACAACCTTAAACAATTAAATTGTAAGTTTTCCTTGCAATATTAAAGTACTTAGTTGTAGTTAGATAGACGTTGTAGACCTTCAAAGGCAAAGGTAGATTGACCATGTTTATCAAGTTAGTGAGGTATTGACAGAGTTGGAGCAGAAGTTTGTACAAAAACTTTACCATTACGGGGACAGTGTGGTCAGAGTATCCAGCTCAATCACGGCTAACTTGGTTACGACACGAGAACACCTCTCTTTTGGTCTAATGTCTTCTAAACATTACCAAATGCCTAGTAGCAAATTTAACTGATTCAAAATAAAGTAAAAAGTAATTTTAACATTTATTTCCATGACATAGATTTTTTTTATTTAAAATATCTAAGTAATACATGCGAATATAATATTGTTATTTTATTTGCATTAAACTTACTTTATCAAACAAAAAATTTGTTATCGTTACTAATTTGTACTTTTTGTAAGGTCAGTTAGGCCTAATAGTACCGTAATCATGGAACTGTAATACAGAATTCGTCAATGTCCAATATTTATTTCATTGGGATTTTTCTCAGTAAAATAAATGGAAGTATAGTCTACACGAATCAATCTTTAGGAAATCAAGACTGTTTCACCTTTATTCGCTTACTTTACAGTGTAAGAAATACATAATTAATGAAACGTGAAAGTATTCTACTCACTAAATGAAGAAACCAAATGTTGTATATGACTTGTGCGATATTGTACACCATCATGGTATACTTTAGATTGAAGGGCTTGCGTTCTGCCATGAGGTGAGGTCCGAGATACGTGACGAACGTGAGGTAGCCTACCATGAGGACAGTTACAGGGTAGGGACTGGACATCATCCAGTACGAATCTACAGCTTCATCTGGGGATAACAGAGGTAATAATTACTAGTCGAGGTCAAAAATGCATGACAAATCTGAGATAGGTTAAAATGAGAACAGTGAAAGGGTGAAGACTACAACTTCAATTTAATAAGCAATATTTACGTCCATAAAATATAAAGAAATGGGTTATAATTATTTTTCAAGCTTGATAATTGTTTTCACATTTGTTTATAAAATACAGTAGTCTTAACTATCCGATTGAGTGGTTACAGTGCGGGGCTTCAGTCCCTGAGATCCCAGGTTCAAATCCCGCCAAATCACCAATGGATGTTATCTAAGTGATAATGCTGCAACCCCTAGTTCTAGCCTGAAGCAATGTGAAAATGTCCCAGGCTCGTTCCTAGCGTAAAAAAAACAAAAAGAAAATATCCGACTGCCGCTTATTCAACTTCATGGTTTTCTGTTATATAGACCCCAAAGGGGCATAAGGGATGTATAAGGGACATTTCCACCTTTGCACCATATTCAGCCACGATAGCCAAAAAATTGGTTTTCATCTGACAAATATGTTTTAAAGAAACCTTTGCTTGACTTTCGCCTGTACTTTCACCCTTCCGAGTCGACCCAAGATTGGCTAAAGTCGGAGTAAATAAATCGATAGACTTTATGAAGTGTCTGGGCTACAGAGTAGCTTGTATGCATAGGAAATAAACCAATATATTGTACTGGTGTACTGGTAGTGTAGATTATTTTGCATAACCATCGACTACTTACCAAACCCTAAACTCTTTTTGTGAGCTATGTCTCTGTACAGGTGGATCAAGTCTCCACCTTTTGCCCCCTCTGCCTACACTCAGATGACAAGCGCCAGGCCATAGGCCCGCCGCACATTGGAGCGAGGCGAGGTGCAGGCTAGGTGCAGGCGGAAGAGAGGACTTTTTCGTGACACCGCACATTGAAGCGAGGCGGAAAGAGGTTTCCTAGCTTTGGTCATACTTTCGCGAGTAGAGGAAGATTTCTTTGACCTTAACTGATTCTGATTGTGAGTTGAATAATTAAGTTTTACTCTATTCGCTATCCAAAAAACGTAAAAATATTTTTGGTAATGTGATTACATAAAAAAGATGAAGCCATGGAGAGTATGTTTTAACTACTGAACTGCCAGACAGGTCTTCTAGAGAATATTTTGGTTTAAACAAACAACAGTATGATGATATTCATTAATTTCATTGAAAGTTGCATTAGCGAAATGGAATTCAATGCTCAACAACATATAACCTTCTGAATTAAATGCTCCATTACTATATCTTTCACTCACAAAACACAAGAAAACCAACGCAGGCGCGGGCAAGAAGCAAGCACTGTATTCCAACTACAACGCCGTGGAGGACCGACAGAGGCTGCTCAATGTGTGGTGCTCCATTTAAACATGTGTATTACATAATCATCTGTGCCTCACCTGCACCTCGCCAAGGCATGATTGTACTTTCTGATTGTAGTAGTGCGTTGCATACCACACAGTTCATGAACCCCTCAGACCGCATACCTCTGCAACATATCTCTGCACCAAATATCTCCATCGTAGTACTTACCTGTCACCTGATTAGATATGGAAGTAGTATCAATTATTTATATTATGTTACAAATAAAGTTGTTGGTTTATAATTGTTTTTTCCTGTGTTTTACCTTATTTGTGGTGGTTGCTTCAGACCATGAAAAAGGGTTTAAAAAATAGGATCATATATGTTAACATAACATTTTCGCAACGACAAAACATTATGTACCTTAACAGCTGTGTCTAAGGAACTTGTCGACCCTAGCCACTAACAAGACTACAAGATCGCGCCACTCGCCCTAAACTCATATCCATTCATACTTGGCTTAAAATACCTACACTCGTATGGTCACCATTTATAGGAAAGTATTAACGTATAAGAAGTTTTTGATGGGATAATCCAGAATGATCAAAATAACTAGATTTGCTCACCTTCCCATTCTTGAAATTCATACGGTTTCAAAGCCTCCTGGAATGTCATTTTTAGAACGTTAGCAGAACTAACCATACCTAGAACATTCGAATATATGTTTATAATTAAAGGACCTACAAAAACAACTAATGTTTAACTATTTTTATATTTGTATATAGTATCATAATTCATTGTTAGCTTTACTTTTACACATGAAAATACTTTAGACACCAAAATACTTTTTTACAGTTTCTCAAATGGGCTACGATACTATCGGATTATTACAATTTGATTCGACTGTTGAATAATTGCATGTCCACTATTCAGACCATAATCGATTCGATTTTTTCAAATCGAATCCGATCTAGTAAAAAGCAAAGTTCTTCCAAACCTCATCGTACAAACCATTTTTGAACGGTAACACGCCCCCAGGATTATTAAATTTCGTAACACAAAGAAAATCTACCCGACTTTCAAATATAATGCGGTGTAAATAAGAACCAAACCCAAAACGTAGACATTTTACTTATACTACACTACGTACGTATTTTACCTGCTCTACTTATCTATTCTATCTTGTTCTTCTTTCTCTTTGGTTTGGTCTTTTCAGTTCGATTGTTTCTCCTCAGATCTCACATCTCACGTCACTCCCACCATGTCTCGGTCAGATTGTAATAGATAAGTATAGCGCCTTATTTATAACCATGTAATTTTTTGGAGATGTTCAACATTTAGCGGAACTAATACGCACGGATTATAAGTAAAAACTGTTCTAAACCAACCAAACCTAGCCAAACTTGCTGTAATATATTTGAAAAACCTGGTTTAAATTGGAAAAGGCGTGTGGTGAAGGAAGGTCTAAGCCTATGCCGATTAACTATTGACGGTTTATTGCTTCTAACCCCCAAATCACATAAAACGTCCTTAAAACGATTTGAAACTATTTCTCGATATCAACATTACAACTTTGTCAATGATTGTTTAGGAGGCGAGGCTTCCTTTTTTTACTAATTAAATATATCAGAAATAGTCTAAAAACTAACTAGTGAACTTCAGGGTTTCGTTTGAGGGAGACTCTAAACCTGGTTAATCATCTTGAGGAACACGTAATTAATTAGACGGGTAAAAGAGTAACTGTAGTGGGGGTATCCTGGAAAAAAACCAGGATGGATACCCTAAATATGGAAATTGTCTTACGTAATACGGGGAAAAATCTTGATTTATGGAAATATAGTGAATACCCACGAAACACTGTGAGTCAAATCAAATTGTAATGATCGCAATTTCGATTACTGATCGATATTTTCATCCGATTGTACCGTAGCCCAGTTAAGAAATCGTACCCTACATTATATATAATGAAAACGTAAAACTTCTTTTATGATACGTTCTATTGATTCAACTAATTTAATAAATCATATTATAAAGAGGTTGGATTGCATTAATTAATAAGGAAAAAAAATATTTGAACGGTACCTATATACACTTTTATAGACCTACATAATATGTTGTAGTCGACTGTCTTCAGAAAATCCTTATTACATTTACGTATGCTAAGTATGTATTGAATGAGACTTACTTTTCTCTCAGGCACTTAGTAGTTTGTCCGCTTAACTGGTCATTTAAAAGCGGACCACTCCCAGAGCTTGTCGTTAGGACATTATTGAATATTTCTGAAAAACGTCCAGAGCTTTAATAGAGGGATCGAGATTGAAATATTAATAACAATTATATCAAGACTAAGTCTTTGTTTGCAAAATTCTTACGTTTCCCAGAGTGGGTATATTATTTCATATTTTAATTATTTATTATAAAAAGATTAAATATTCAAGTAAGAACATAGTACGGAATATTTAGATATTTGATGAACATCAGATTTCATTGCTAGACTAAGTATTTACTCGACTACGAATTTACTCGACTAAAGACGTTCATTTAGTTATACTGTACTTGTTCACTTCTTTTACCTTCGATTTTAAACAAATAAAGGTATATATTTGTATTTTTATTTGAATGGTAACCAAAGCAGTGAACATTGAAGTAGAGCATGACTTGTCTACTCCTGCGTTCATCTCTGCTTTAGTCAGATTTATTTCCCGACGTGGACGTTGTAATCAAATTTACTTTGACTGTGGTTCCAATTTCATAGGAGCTAATATTAAACTACAGAAATAATGAAGAACCTCAAATCTGAAGAATCTCAACTAAATTCACCATCGAACATGGTTTAACTATTCATTTAGCCACTTGCTTCACGTCATCATGGTGAGTTATGGGAGTCAGCGATAAAAAGTTCTTAATACCATATTTACAGAGTTATCGGTTCTTCAGTCCTTGCATATCAGGCGTTTACTACGCTCACAACTAGAATTGAGCACAAGGCTATGTTAAAATTAAGACCATTATGTACACTCTCTGCCGACCCCTCAGATAGTTCAGCACTTACGCCTGGGCATTTTCTGACTGTTATTTAATTCCTGAAGATGACATCTTAACTGTACCTAAGTATAAATCGTTTGAACCGTTGGCCAATTAGTCAATCATTATTTCAGAACACATGAAAAATATGGACAAAAGAGTATTTTCACACACTGCGACAACGAACAAAGTGGACAAAGTCTACAAAGAACATAAACATTGGCGATCTGGTCATAATTCAATCTACAAGGCCAACTTTTCAATGACCCCTAACAAGAGTAACTAAGTTTTTTTTCCAGCAAGGATGGTGTTGAACGAGTAGCAGAAGTAAAAACAGCAACAATCTGTTGTAGAAGGCCTGTAACTAAACTCTGTGTTTTACCCTTTGACTAACTGTTGAAGTGATGACACTTAAAAGTTATACTGTTTAAACAAATACTAATATTCCCTAATTGCCACGTACATAATACTGATTTTCTATACTAAATTATATTTGGGCTTGGTAATTCATCTAAACATTAAAACAAGTTGTTAAAATTAAATTCGAATGAAAAGCTTACAAAACAGCAAACTATAAAATTACACATTCCTAAATAAAAGAAGGATTGTAATCTGGAATTTCCAGCAAAAGTAAAATTTAGCCACTAAAAGCTCGTCTTTAATTTTGGCACTTTAAAAATGTACACTACTTTTAATATAACTACACTACTTTTACATGTACTCTACTTTTATATGTACTTTCTAGTTCAATATTCAAGAACATTCAAGTTTTAAACATCTGTTAGAAATTGGATGTCGAATTGATTCTCATAGCCAACATTTTCCATACTATTTTACGTAGTCTAAGGCTTTTAATACGTTTTACAACGAATTAACATTATGAACCTAATCATTTTAACCATAATTTTGATTTTCCACACCATAGTCAATTTTTAAAGTTAGTTTTTGAACATGTGGATGGGTTTTATAAGCTAACGGATGATTCTTTGTTTGAACTTACAAAAACCGATTCAAACTGGAAATCTAATTAATACGGCCAAAAATAATCTATAACTATAGATGTTAAATGTTTATGCAATGAAGAGGATGAATGACCATGTTTTTCTCCTAAGCCAAAGTCTTGTACCATACAATTAGTTTTATTAACTAGACTTAAATCTTGGCAAACATTAAATAAAGCTCCGTGGAATGTGAAAAGGACGGGTGATGGCTATAATTATAGAATATCTCTTGTAAAACATAATGAGCAATTTAATTTGTTTGTATTCAAACCTGATTATTCCTAACCTCAAGTATTGTAAGGTTTACTCAAAATATTATATAATACTTCGGTTAATGGAAGACAAGTACTTCTATTCCCTGGTATTTTGAATATTGTTATATTCTTGTTTAGGGGACCAAAAGAGGCCACTGAACCAAGCTGAACATATTGATGGAGGTTATAAACATAAAGGGTGAAATGTTAAATATTCTGGCACTCTTGCTGCACACTGCAATTGTAGACATCTGATGGTGACTTTAGGAAAGTGCTGCCAACCCTGGAGTTCAAGTTAAACTAAATAAAAATATTCAATTTTTTTCAATTTAATAAATTTATCTTTGTATCGATGTTGTTTAAATATGACATTAGCAATTCAAGACTTAGTTTGTGCTTCTTGTATTTTATTTTTTTACAACCAATAATATATATCCGAATACATATTTACTGTGTATATATATGCATGGATAACAAGCAATGGTAAAACAAACAACGTAGTCTACAAAATAGTTGATTTCATAAATGGGCGATTTATTTGTAATGGTTAAAAAGTATTTGGACAATGCACGCTGGTTAAAACAACTTTAAACATTATTTTAAAACACGTTGAAGAAAATTTTCAACTATACTTTATAAGTACATCGCATTATTATGGCATTATAAATGGTTTTAAATCAAAATAATTAACTCGATGTGTAATTCACTAGGTCTTCTGATATTTCCCTCAGAAAATATGAAGTGAATATTCTCCAACAGTCTAAGTAAGAATGACTAAGCATTCTCGGCCATTATCACATCGTCACCATTCTTTTAGCTCATGAATTTTTCAAATGTTTGATAAATGAAATATTTCTATATTCAACTTACCAAAAATGACAAATCTCTTTCCAAACGGTGTTCGACACGTGTGGGAATGGATGACAAGTAAGAAACAATCGTATGCAAAGTGAATCACATATTCAGAATCCAAGGTTAATCAGGTGAACCCCAGACTCAATTTTTCAATTGACTGATTCTTACCTTGAGTTTGCGCTGTCTGGCCTTTAACAAGCGTTTATGTGTGTTTAATTTGTGTTTGTGGAGGTGTAAGTTTAACTATATTTTCGTAAGTGTTGTTGGCTTACCTACATTTGTGTTCATTCATGTAATTGTCAATAAACGATAAGAAAGATTGTCAGATAGCTTTAATTAATTGAGTTCAAGGGCCTCGAGCAATAAGTATTTTCGTAAATATAAATTTAAATTAACTTCATTAGGTTCGGCAATTACTCTTGATAGTTTCAAAGTAAATAATGCCTTCCCATAATACGTACGGGGATTCTCTTTCCATCCATTGTTTGATCATTATCTACTATTGAAATAACTGTCTGTGTATGACAAGAGTCAGTGACATTATATAAAGTCGACGCTCCCGCCAACTAATGATGACACTTTTACTGGAACTGTCAAGGTTTTCTAAAATTATCAGTCTTTGGAATATCTATAGATATTTTAATACATTTAACAATGTTAAACCAATTAAGTAATTGTCTTAGACATTATTTTATAAGCTTGTAGCATAAAATGTAATTCGACACGTAGTTTTATTAGGTATTTAGTTAATAATGTTTATAACTTACAATCCTATCCAAATTAAATTTAATAGGAACTTATCGAGATACTTATGTACCAAATCAGCATTAGAAGTGCATTGGTTCAACTGTTTCACTGTCTGAAGTTGACAGCCTCGTACTGACCTTAAAATAAAATTAACGTGTACCCTTTTATTTTAACCTTTTTACTTTAACGTTCAAGCATAAACTCACAAAGTCACGGATAAAAATGTTTGTGTAAGTCACATTAATTTTTTTGTTTAAACCCCGTTCAAGCGAATTGTCCTGCAGTTACCAACACACATAATGTGATCGTTGAAATGTATTTTGTAAATACTGCATTAAAATACGTTGAAATTACGTTAATTTTCCTTTTAACAAATTAAATAATGGCGGCATTCGTAGGATAAATAAAATAGCCCAACATTATCAAATTGTAAACAATAATTAGTCTGCGTTAGACTCAAAAGATTAAACTTAGACAAATACCAGCTAAATCTGTAAGCGTGTACCCGGGGCCAAGCTTGAGCCCACTTAGTCTAAGCCGAGTTGCAGGAGGTAATTACAAGCTTTACTATGGCTTACCACCTGCGGCTTACCTAGCACTTAGTCTACACTTACAGTAGGCTGCAAGACCCAACTCATCATCCTCACATGATTGACTCAACTCATCTGCACTGAGAAAACGACGTTCTTGTAATTTTACTGAATACTTTAGTGCCACAATGAAAGGGTGAAATCAATCTTTAAGGGTAAACATGTTAGACAATGAGGCAAATGCAATAGTGCACCATCTCAGTAGGAAATCTAGAGATAAGCATAGCATAGTTACTGTCATTTAATGACATTATTGAATATGAAAAGAATGGACTTTGGTGGAAATCGTAAACTATTAACTTTTTTTTAATAATACTGAAGTAACATTCATAAATTGCAATGAAGCTGTCTAAATTACATTTACTAGCCCATATAATTGATTTTCATCTTTACCTGTACACCAGACTGGCCTTTTGTTGGATCAATATTGGGTTATTTTATAACTAGAAACTCATTAAAGTCAGATATAAAAAATAACTAGCATGAGTTCTTATCCAATTGGTAAGTTTAGAAGCTATGGAATCATTATATTATACAAGTTACTCTTGACAAGGGTAATCAAGAGATAAAAGAAAGTTCAAAACGATTATATGAAATTTCTTTAATTAAATATAAGCTTCAGATTTAAAATGGAGGAAACGTTAATGACTTAGACTTGGAGGTTAGTTGTGATGATTATGAGGTATATTTTACATGGTGAATATGAATATCAGTGTTTGAAAGAGAACCGAGTACGCAGCATTAATATTGAAAAATAATACGTATGTCTCTCAATAAATATGTTTCGGCGTGTTGGTCATACTCAGTTAAAATATGAGTATATTACGTTGTTATTTTATTAAACCTGGATAATTGAAAAAAAGAATAAAGTCTGTTTATTTTACCTGTACTGTTGTCACAATCCTGGGTAGTTGGAGTGACTATGGATGTTTTGTACTCATAACTACTAGACACCTAGTGCAACAATGACGGAAGGCAAGGCAATACTAAGAATCCTTGGTAGTTTTGTAATGCTTAAAGTTAATGTTGTCCTTTCCGTGTGTTTTTATAGTGTGTTTTGTCCGATATATTAAAACACTAAGTACTACTTCAACTAACTACGAGACACTACTACACTGATAGACGGGTTTGGATAAGGTGATGTACGCAAGAGTGTATACGGGATGTAGTCACTGTGACTACAACGCAGATACAACAGGATAGTGTGACACTTGCATGGATTCAACTTGAATTTGGCTTTTATATACAGTTTTTTTCTAAGAAACTATTATCCAATAAAGATGTGAGGAAGCCGGGGAGATAAATACTATTACTGGTTTTTACAGTATATTAACAAATATGTTCTATGAAACTTTGGGTTTGTTTTAAATAGACATACGTTTAAAAATCACTCTTTGAGATAAGAAACTTCAGCCTCAACTTCACTTGTTGCATTTACCATGCTGCAGCGTTTAAGTATTTTTCTTTATGCGCTTTGATTAGCATCAACAATGCTGCAACTTAAAATATTGAATAGAAAATGTACTAAGTAAAAAAGTCACGTTTCATATTTTACCCCTCATTGAACAGTACTTCTCCAGGCTAGACGCTTTATTTGGACTAGCCACTTTCCATAAACCATTGTTTAATCAGGAATTATGTTAAATAATATCGTAAGTAGGCTGGCGTAATGTTAATAGTTCAGTTTAGGTAGACGACCTTCACTGGAATCTGAAAAATGTTCATTATTTGAAGTAGAATGCAGAAGAAAAGTTGTAACCATTTTATTGACAACATTTTATTTAGTTTATCAAACAGGAAGAGGACTCAAATCAACGACGATGTGGTAATTATATAAACATAATATTGTATAAATGCAATATTTACCTAATAAGGACAAAATATGCATAACAAAAATATTACAACAAAAAACTATCAAAATTCGTGTTTCTGTCCCCTGGACTATTTTTTTAGACACTAATAGGTTTTCACGTACCTGTGGTCAAATACCTCAACTATTAAAATTGCTCAGTAGCTTACATATTTCGTTGCAAGCTTACAATCTTACATTCGACTTACAGTTTTCCGCTACCGACCCCACATCGCGCTGGACTAAATTATCATTTTTGTGTTTTGTTATTTTTGTTTCGTGCTTGATTTGATTGTAGTTTGGCGAGTTGCAAGCTTTGAGAATGTTGTCTTCGCAACGAAACATGTAATCAACTGAGCAATATTAATCGTTGGACTATATGAATATTTGCCTACACTACGTACGTAAAAACCTATTATTGTAAAAAAAAAAACTACTTAATTACTTTTGACTTTCACACCGGTCTGCGTTTTTGAAGAAGGACGTTTGTATGCCTTTATATAAAAGTTTGTAAAAAGAATCGTAAAGATGATGGTTTGAGATATTGCGAAATAGAGGAAGAGCCTTTGAAGAGTTGGGACGTTCTGGAAGATTGCAAGGTAGACGTGCACGGAGAATATGATCATGAATTGGACCTGAAAACAAAGGTAAGGATTATTATTGTTTATCCGACAACCATCCTATGTGCACTAAGACTTTAAATAAAATATAAACAAAATATTCCTTCAACTTCTACAAGTTAATTTAGTTGCTAGATCAGTAAATGAAGAACTGAACGTCATTTTTGGGTTTCCAGTTTGTACAAACATTGATTATTACCGTTTATACTTTAAGTGCAATCGTTTAAACAAAAGGTGTAATGTTGAAAATAATGCCACTCTCTAAAAGGAAAAAGATATATTCCAGTTTGTTCATCTTATGTCCAGCCTACACTGAAAATAGATATTCTTATTAAACTTGAACTAATCATGTTTGCACCAATTGCTTCATATTTGATATGTATCATTCTGCGACCACATTGCAATGAGATGTTTAAACAATTAGTAGAGTATTGTAAGATGTCGATGTTGGACTACTCACCAGCTGCATCCTCGTAAGGTACTTCTTCCACCAGAGGTACGGCTGCAGCTTGGGTCCCAGAGCTGCCAGGAAGTAGTACGAGTACATAATGATGTGGACCAGAGAGTTTATCAGACCAGCAAATATCAGCCACTCTCCTACAAGAACAAAAAAATCACGTTATTCATGAAAACGTTATTAATTTACCCATCTGTAAATTGTTTTGTACAGAATAAGTAGTTTAGGTGTATGTCTTTGTTCCAAGATGATAAGAAAACTACTGAGAACCAGCTGGGCTGAAGCTTAGCAGAAAGTAGAATACGTACTCGGCCATCACTTAGACTCAATAGTTTTTAAAAGCCCCTTATAATGCTTCCCGTGGTCATCCAAAGGGTTTACGGTAGAACTCTTGGGAATTAATATCAATTCGTTGCACTAGAAAAAAAATATAAAAGTTATAATTTTTTCTCCATTTAATTCTATTTGGTGTACAAGTTTCATATAGTTATTGATTGTATACTATAGTACAGTACAGCTTAATTGAAGAAAATAGGAAAATATGATCTTATAAAACAAGTTATACATTTAAATTGGGTTTTGTTAGACTGAGGTTATGTTCTTTTGATAAATTGTGGGCCTATAACTGGCTTCTAAGGTATTGTTAAAAATCCACGTTATTAAATTTATGGGTGCTCGCCTTATTACGAAACAAGGGTAAAGCAGCCAATTGTAAATGGGATTACTATCGTTAACAACCATTATTGTTCATCTCAAAACGGTTAGAGTAATCTTAAATCTAATTGATTTGGAAAACGGAAAATGATATGCTTTAAATAAATGTACCAAAGAATATACAGGGTTAGTAAAAAGTGTGGTGACCCCCTGTTATTTTTTTAACGGCCCATACTAGAAAAACTAAACTCGGCACACCATTATGGCATGCTATGAAGTACTTTTTGGGCATAACCGCCACTTGAAGTTCATCCCCAAAATGGGGGATTTTGGGGGAAACTCAAAAATTTCAAATACAAAGACCCATCGAGTGACCCCTCATTTTAAAGGTCCTGGTAAAAGAAAACGAGCAACGCAAATTAGAGGTCTCTATCTCAGTTCAGTAAAAAATGGCAGCCAATTAAAATTCTCATAAGTTCCTAAACCCAAAATGGGGGATTTTGGGGGAAACTCAAAAATTTTAAATGATAAGCCCCATTGAGTGACCTCATTTTGAAGTTCATAATAAAAGAAAATTAACAACGCAAACTGCAGGTCTCTATCTTAGCACAGTAAAATATGGCAGCCAATTGAATATAAAATTGCAAGTTATTTCCGATATCTAAAGATTTCAATCAGCTTCCATTTTTACTGGATTGAGATAGAAACCTCTAGTTTGCGTTGTTAGTTTTCTTTTACAAGGACCTTCAAAATGAGGGGTCACTCGATGGGGCTTATCGTTTAAAGCTTTTGAGTTTCCCCCAAAATCCCCCATTTTGGGTTTGGTAAGCAAAAAGCTATTAAGCTTAAAAAGTACTTCATAACATGCCAAAAATGTTTGTAGAGTTTAGTTTTCCTAGTGTGAGCCGCTAAAAAATTTACAGGGGGTCTCCAGACTTGGAAAGCTGTAAGTTAAATTTAACTTCTGAGAATTTCAATTGGCTGCCATTTTTTACTGGATTGAGATAAAGACCTCTAGTTTGCGTTGTTGGTTTTCTTTTACCAGGACCTTCAAAATGAGGGGTCATTTGATGGGTCTTTGTATTTTAAATTTTTGAGTTTCCCCCAAAATCCCCCATTTTGGGGATGTACACCAAGTGACGGATATGCCCAAAAAGTACTTCATAACATGTCATAAAGGTGTGCCCGAGTTTAGTTTTTATAGTATGGGCCATTAAAAAAATAACAGGGGGTCTCCACACTTTTTACTAACCCTGTATATTAGATATAAATATTCGTGTCAGTTTATTCCACGAATTAAACATTGTGAGAGAAATCAAATGACGTAGGGTAATTTAAAGCATAATTTGTTGGCGACGCCAGTAAATGCAACTGAAAACAATACCAAGTAAAATACACTCATAGTTACCTCGAATATACTTGAAATAGAGCCAGCAGAAGAACGACATGTTGAAGTGGTGATAGACATGGAGAAAGGATACGTGTGTCTGTTTCTTCCGTAGCACAAATATAACCTGTAACATTCATTATCACGGGTTGTTTTAAGGCTTCAAAATTAATAAAAAGTGCTTCATACATTTCCATAACATTTCGTTCACGAAATGTGTTGTATTAAAGTAACCTACGTTGAAACAATACTGTACGAAATAATGTAAATAACTTTGCTAGTTTTAGGTTTGGAGACCAACTGTGTGGAATGAATTTAATTACGTAACATCGTTACTTGTAGAATGCATAATTATAGCTTTGCATACTCCGATTTACACATTGAGGCTTTTATGCAATGGTTATAGTTAAAACGCATATTTTACTAATATTATAAATGTGAAAGTTTGTGTGTTTGTTTGTTTGTTTGTTTGTTTGTTTGTTTGAAGTTCAATCACGCATTAACTACTGGACGGAATGGGCTGAAATTTGGCACGATGATAGCTCACATTCCCGATTAACATATGGGCATATTCTTATCTCAAAAATCCTTTCGGGCTCCGCCCCAGTGGCTCTGTAGTTCCCCATGTTAACCTTATGAGTATTCATATTTAAAGGGAACTAAACAATTTTGTCAGCTGTTTCAACTAAAAAAAGTTGGTTCTATTATATGAAAAAGCATTAAAAAGTTATAAGATTTACCAACAGGGTGCAGCACTATTTTTTTTTTTTTTGCATTTACGAAAACAGCTAATTTGAACTAAGCAGCAACAAAAATCTGAGATACACAATGAGAACTGTCAAAGTAGAATGTTTACAGTTGTTTATTTTTTTAATTTAATGAATAATTTGTGATATTTTGCGAATTTTTTATAATTACTTTTTCTCTATTGATTAGGTGGTTTAGGTAAAGAGGTAGACCATTATGGCTATGGTAGATGTGTAATACTATGTATACCATAAATTTAAAGAAGCAAATTTTACCAAACTGTTCCTCCCCCATTGAAAACGCAAAGCTTGAGTATAACTGCAATAAGCATTTTATTCCTATATGCCAACCCCGTACGAAGGACGGGTACTCTGCTAGTATATATATATGATCATAACACTACCGGTGCCCACTGTAACTATGTGACATTATTAAGTTTTCTAAGATCAGAAGCCATCCTAGCTGTTACACATTGTAGGTAATTTAACTTACTTTTTACAAATAAATTCAAAACCTAGAAACTAGATGCCTACCGTGTCAGCGAGGTCTGAAACTTTGATCAGCCACCATATCCAAATGTACCTGAGGCTCTGAAACAAACATTTCAAACATATAATATACGAATAAACTAACAACAGTTAATATCAGTATCGATAAAATATGGGGCATACTAAAGCCGCTTCACTATCATGGTCCTGTGTAGGTTGGCAATTAGTATAACTATTTCAGCATTAATGAAGAACAGGATTTAGCGATTTACACTGAACCTCTAAGGCGCAATTTATCTTATAATCAATGGGATGGGTTATAATGTACAAGCTATGCAAGTACTATTATTACCTTTGAGGGGTTGCTAGGTACATGAGTAGTGCTGCATTCTCAACAAGTCGGTACACGTGGCGATTCATTGAACTTGATTACAATTTACAGCCTTTGCTTACAAACTAATATTAGGTACTCCATATTTCAAAATGGTTATTTTTAACAGTTCACCTGAAATTGTTGGTTGAGGGTTTTAAATTCATAATAAAGAACAACACACGTGTACCAACCGTCATGAGGTTAGTGATATTTTACACAGCTACTTTCAAATATGCAATCTAATTATTTATTACCACTGTTAATAATATTTCCGGAGAACGGCTTAAAATATTTTACAAGTAGATATTACATTATTCGTTATTAGTACAATGTCAGTACAGTATTAGTAAAACCGTATCAATATAAAAGATAGACACATTCAGTTACTATGAACACACATCCAATTAAAATTAATGATCGTCATTTAATTATCTTTGGAAATTATATTGATTATGAAGGTTAAAAACTTGCATAACATGAGCAATTACAAACACATTTCTTCTGAAAAAGCAACTTAATGGAGAATTTGGAAACAGTCTATATGATATTGACTTGAATACCGAATCATTGTTTGATCTTACACGTGTCAGTAATATCTCTCCTTTCATTACACAAGTCTGCACTCGTAAACTAATATTACTCAGAGTGTAGTTAATGAACTAGGACGTACTACCTACTTATAAATGCATTCGTATATTATTAAAAAGAGTATAAAGGGTGATTTTTATGCTTAAACATTATATTATAGTCAAAGGTATTGTTTATTTAAGAGCTAATATTAACATATACGTACAATCAATCTAAGGCGTTTGCTCCTGGCTGGAATAACTGGCTGGAATGTCTCCTTCAATAAATGTTCTGTCATTCCCTCTTCACTAAAAAACTGAAAAAAACAACATCCATGTTACTAGAGAGTAAAAACAATCTGAATTTGTTCTTAGTAAAAAGAACTAAACGACTATTCCCGGTCATCTAGTTAACTCCTGACATTATATTGTATATCATACTTAAAGTAAACAGTTATTTGAACTTCTCTAATTATCTGGTATAAGCATTCCTTACAAGTAAACCTGTATTGTAAATAACAGGTGGTACTTTACGGCATTGAAATTCATTATTTTATTATTATTGTTGTGTTTTAGTTTTATTTTACTAGAAATCTGACAAGAACATGCAAGTCTATTAAGAATCGTTATTTTGATTTGTGTTATCTATAATTTAATCGCTATCAAATACTTCTACTATACTGAAAGTATGCTATATAGATTGAAAATGAATGATATGAAACTAAACAGTATCCAATAGGGAGCTAAATTTTGCCTTATTTAGAAGGTAAACTAGGAGATAACGATGTTCACGTCGAATGTGATTCCTGATAGTTTTAGTATAGCTTGGAGTGGTACATTACTGTTAGTTCATTGAACAGTTCGTTTCATTAGTATTTACAGTGAATTTAAATTTTGTTTGGTTTATTCAAATTCGTGTCGGAACATTAAGGGGGTTTTAAAAGTTCAGCAACGGTTAAAAGAGAGCGCTAACGTACAGTTTTACAGGATATTACAGAATGACGTTCATGTAACGAGAAATGATCAATTATTTAAATAACCATTTATCTCAAACGTTAAATATAAGGGGTTCCACTAATATTCAGCGAAACATGTTTTTTTTTTTTTTAAGAAACGCCAAAGAACAAACGTATTCCTTTTTATTAACAAGTTTATCAACAGCGACAAATATTGCCTGATCAGCGAATTGAATAGCCCTGTTATAGTGCTCTCCTTAGATACCTGGAGAGCTGGTTTGATTCTCAGCCGAGATCTATTTTTACCTAGCTACCATTTGTCATTAGCCTATAAATTAACATGTTATATAACAAAAGCTTGATAAGAACAGCTTTATCTTATATTCCTGCGGGGATATTTCTATAGACCCGGTTCTTCCCAGTTCCAATACCAATGGATTTATCCAAGTGATAATGACGCAACCTCATGATCCAACCTGGAGTAAGTAATGTAATAAACAATCGTGGTATAGGGCCTAATATATGTTTACATACAAAACCACTTACAGTTGTAATATGTATTAAAAAAAAACAAAAAAAACTACCTACTTAAATAAGTCTCTAATGTTCTACAACTGAGGTTATATTTATTCTCATAGTGTTTTTCAACGATTAAAGTTGACTAGAACATAAACGATTCCACAGCGAATACGGTCTCCTTTTAGTTTCACAAGTTTGACTCTCTCGGTGGTAAAATTAAACATCATTCTTGTTTTCTTTTAACCCGAATAACCCTTACTTGTTACCTTATTAACGGTTAAGAGATTACTAATTGACGCTAATGTTTCTATAGTTAAATTTCTAACTTACTAAATTATTCCACTTCAAATCAAGTATTGACTTACACTGATGAGGAACCAAGCGTTGAGCGCGACTTGGCCCAAGTTATACGCCATCATGGTCCATTTCAAACTGAAGGGTTTGCGATGCTTCATTATCTTGGGTCCCACTGTTGTGACAAACGCCAAGTATAACATTGACAATGTCACTATGTATATCGGGCTGTCCATGAACAACATGTTGGAGACTGCCTCTTCTGCAACAAGCGATTACTTAAATGTATAATGAATTGAGAATAAGTACTTGTATGAAACCATTTACTTAAAAGATTTCTTTTCATATCCGTTTAATTTTATATTTTTTGGTTGAAATAAAAAAAAAAAACATTGTGAAGGAAAATATATACGTTATGTTTATTAATATTCGATTTCTTAACCATCTTTATTTTGTTTTGAAATTCACCCTATGTTATGATAATATAATTTTTTTTTCGTAATGAATTATTAGTATTAAATTATATTATTAAAATATCTACTTAATATCAGTGTTAACTTCTTTATTAACAGTACTTTTAATTTGTGTTATCTTACTATTAGTAGTAAAAACAAAACTGTAAATTACAATATCATTGTAAAATTACTTGTAAACAAACAGATGGAAAGGAAGTAAGCTTGGGCCTGAAGTGGTTCCCATTCTAGTTTTTGAAAACAATATGAACTATCAAGCATAAAACAAATATACTAATTAGATGCTTATGCCTGGCTTAGAAACGAAAAAAAAAACAATCTACAAATATTTTAAATTAATTCCAATCCTATGTTCTTCAAATTATGTTTTGTATACCGGATTTTAAATAAATTTACTAAGAGAAGACTTTGACTAAGGAAAGGTTTTGGGATTTTATTTAAATGAACTAGTTTTGAAATATTTAAAGAATTAGACTTACTATATGCACTAATACAATGATAAAATGTAGTATAAAGTTAATCTTAACAACTAGTATTATGCTGGAATCAAACTTTTTAAGATATAAATGACATGTTATTTACCTTCCCATTCTGGAAACTTGTGTGACAATATTTCTTCTAAAATAGATGATCCGTTGTTCGAAAAAGATCCTAGAATAAAAGATTGTAATTCAGCAAACATACTCACAGTAACACTAATAAATAATAAAGGCACATTAGTACATCTACTGTACTAGTATTAAGCTCTGGAAGAGTAACAGAGCTACTAAACCACGGTTACATAACAACAATAATTAAGTACCATATGTTCCATACGAGCATCAAATGAGAACTCCGAGTGGAGATGCATTTGACTGTAATATTGAATAATCACTAGTAAAACAAGTAAACCTCCTCCGCAGCAAACCTGTAGTCTAAGCTAATTTTTCTGCCTGATTTGACTTTAATTTAAAAGATGCCAGATTGATTTGCATTTAAAGTAGCACTAAAACAAATATATGGTCAGAAGAGCAAGAATAATACTCAATAGCTCAAACCTTTGAATTAATATTAACAGCTGCATGCAGGAATGATGCTATTTCAGATGAAGTGAATTAGAAGTGACGGAAAACCATTAACCGCCTTTTATCAGCAAAAAAGGTATTCTTAGAATTGAATTAGAGTGGAAATTGTTGCATTGAAAATATTAACAAACTTAAATTTAAACAGATATATCTCAGGAAAGTATGAACATTTAAAATCATAAAACCGAACATTCATAAAGTTGGAATTTTGTACACAGTTTTACTAAAATTATAGGCAAAAAAATCAGCAAAAACACGCTTTTCTTAATGAATATTTCAATGTATATAACGTATTAAAGACCACAAATGCCATGATACGCATAAATGCATGTTATGAAAGGAAAGAGTGTTTTGTAATTTGTTCCTTAATGTAGATGTGGGGATAGCTATCCTTTTTGAAAATTTATCTGTTAAACTGTTAAATAATAATCAGAATTGTTATGATATTTTGAATGTTTAATTAATCTATTATGTAAAGCAGTATGTGTGTCCGTTAGCTCAATAACTCAAGTAAAAAATCATCCTATTCTGATGGAAAGTTGTATAAACTCAAATGCGTTGGTGAACCAGAATTATTATCTATGAGGTTAAAATGTGGTTCCCCCATTTTTCACACTCGAAACAAGAGATTTTACAATTATTTTGCAAGGTTTTATATAGAGCTTATTAAATAATTAATTAACTACATTAAAGCATTGTTGTACATTTAATAGTTACAAAGGAAATTACACAAAACTGTATATATTAAACTATTATGTTATTCTTATCATAAGTAAACTGTTCCAGTTTGCAAGATTTTTAGATATGCATTTAACGAAAGACCTAACCTTGTTGCCTTCCTTGTAGCAACAACCCTAAATACTAATAACCAATTGCTATTTGAAACATATTCCCGGAATTGTTTCGAGAAAGTCCAATCAGGCAAATGGATATTAGCTTAGTCTGGAGGATTGCTGCGGAAATTAATCCTCGAAACATAACGTATAAAATGCCATGCGGTTTTGGTAGTCCCTTGAACTAATTATGTTAAATATTTTAAACCCTAGTGAAAAATATTTAGTCTGTCTTACCCTGTAAAATAGGGGTTTGAAAGTGGTAATGTGTGGGTACCAGCATAAAATATATGAAAATTGTTTATTTTTTTAGACAAAGTTAGGGCCACATGGCCCTTTCATAAATATAATAAAAATAATTTAACATTGGGATAACTTAATCTAATTAAACATAAAAATATTTAAGAATTCAAGTACCTACATTTCTCAGAAAAAAAGAAGAAAAAAATACAAATTTAACAAATAAAAAAAAACACATTCACACATTCTCGCATACACGCATCAGCAAACGCGCAATGAAACAGTAGCCCTAGGACACGCCAGCCGAAACCATCTTCTAAAAATAAAGCTTTTTCAGTGCCGCCACAAACGACAAGCGGTAACAACAAAAGCTCTGCCATAAGCTGTGGTCACATGATGAGGTATACGCAATGTGATCAAAGAATAACTAGACATAAATCGGGGATTCGAACCCGTGACCTTCATTTCTGGAATACCTTGTACTTGGTTCATGTTCTAAGTATTTTAAATGGATTCTTCGTATGTCATATAGACGGGAATAATTTTATTTCGCGTTTCTAGGTGAAAACGTACTCCAGAAAAAGTACGTGTACGGGTGGTATCATTCAACCTGTATATTAATAGACGACTATTGTTTTTTTTCCGAAGATGATCGCAAATGTTCACGCAATAGAAGTTTTAAGACTACTGAACTGGCCGTTTAACAGTACTAGTTACTAGATTACCTTTGTGTGGAGGCGTGTTCATGGTGGGATGGTGAGAATGTCGACTACTGACACCTCAGCAGCAGTGACCAGACTACACCCCTCTAGGCAACCCTTGCCACTGTCCGTGCTCTAACGGGACACCTAGACCAACTAGTCTTGCTCAATTACTGACATTCGCCCAGCTTTCCATTGTCTATCCTGTTATTTACAAACCTTACCTTTCTTGTGTTTATCTGATACTACTTTCGCAGTCATCTTTATTATAAAAATTTACTCATAAAATACCTTTATCTCTTCTGCAAACTTTTTGAAGGATCTTAATTTATCTTTCATCACACTACTCTATTTTAATGGACTTAACACTTAAGCATATAATCCGGAAAACAGCTGTTTGCCACCTGTTTGATGAATTGGATTTTTATTATTACTTACTACTTAATGTTTTTTACGCCACACTACACTATTTTGACGAACTTCCCATGCAAGGATTTAGTACAGAAAACAGCTGTTTACCGCCAGCCTAATCAAATGAGGCTTCATTCCGTACTACTGTACTGTAATAAGTTTTACCGGACACCAATCTGCTGATTATACTGTATTTGGGTGGCAATGAGTGGTTATAACAAAAACATAACCTCTCTTAAAAGTTATGACTAGTGATTTTTAGTCCTTTAGTTGGTGGTAATATACAAGGAGTTGAACGGATTTAGTAGTATGGCGTTAAACTATCGTACGTCACTCGTCCAAAATGTGTGTACCGGACTCGTATGGTGATCCCGTACTCGACTTCGTCTCGCATGGGAACGACCAAACTTGTCCGGTAAACACTTATTTTCAGGACTAGTAACGTAATATACTATTACCTAACCCGCCATGTTAAACTTCCCTATCCCAAGCGTGATGTATACAACTTCCTTACTTCTCGAGTGATGTAAAGTATCAAAAACTCACTCGGTGATGTAATGAAACCCATTTAAATAACATTAGTGATTAACTTAAAAAATATACCTCTATGGAGCCAACGACGTTCAACGCTAGAAATCAGCTGTGCTCTTGAATTTTATTGTTATGTTTTGAAGAATTTTCCTAACCTAGCTTTTGTTTGTAAATGAACGTTACTGTTAGAAGATGAGTGAAATGGATAATGATTAATATTGTTCGTAACCTCCTGTATATTGTCGGGTCAGGTAAAATCTTGTACGTTACACGTTACGCAAGAGCGTGTTTACATCACTTAGGTAAATTATGCAACTCGCTTCCGCTCGTTGCACAACCTTCACCTGCGTGATGTAAAAACGCTCTTACTACACTTGTAAGGTAAATAGCTATTACGCCACTCTACACTATACACTGTACATGCAAGGATTTAGTCCAAAAAGAGTTGTTTGCCACCAGCTTAATCAAATGGGGTTTCATTTTTTACTACTGTACTGTAATGAGTTTTTACCAGACACCAACTAGCTGATTATGTTTGGCAATGAGTAATGTATTGTTATAAACAAAAACATAACCTCTTATAGATGTTATGAGTAGTGATTGTTAGTCATTTATTTGGATGGAATATATAAGTATTTGTTTTGATTTTCTATTGTTAACTTAGCTTAGAGTATTATGGCCTAAAATATTGTACGTCACTCGTCCAAAATGTGTTAACCGAACTCGTATGGGAATCCCGCACTCGACTTCGTCTCCAACAGGAACGACCACACTCGTCAGATAAACACCTATTTTCAGGGCTAGTAACATAATATATTATTACCGGACAACAGCTCATTATAATTGGCCAATAGGCTTATTTTAATCAGCTATTATACTAATAACAATTTGTTACTTAAAACCTTAGGTATTTTATGAAGATAAACAATAATCAATGTAGGCCTAGTAAAATGTAAAAATTAAATAACAATTACTTTTTTTGCAAAGAAACTTCTTTTTTTATACAAGGCTTCGTCTTTATAGGCCAAATATATATATGGTCAACTTTATGTGGCTATGGGTAAGTTAGGAAATATATCTGAAAGATAATAAAATATTTATTTCCAAGAAATGTTCATTACATCCAACTTTTATAAACCGAGTGAGTATTTCCATAAGTTACATAGTCTTTAAGTTTAGTTCAATAAACTCGTCGAAAATTATGACTGTTATTTTTGAAATAACTTATGTGACACTTGATAATATTGTTCGATTTCGGGCAACAGGTCTATTATTGTAAATTACTTACTTACTCTTACTCCTGTGGCCATTGGAAACCTAGGTGGTTTTTGGCCTCGCCAACCATGTGCCTCCAAGCTCTTCTATCCTCTGCCAGCTCCAAGTCTGCTCCCATTCCTCTCAAGTCCTTCGTCACCTCATCAACCCATCGCATTCTTGGTCTACCTAATGGTCTCCTTCGTTCTGGTATACCTCTGAATACCATCTTTACCATCTCTCTCTCACTTCTACGGTTAATATGGCCCATCCATCTCAACCTCCTACTCTTAACTATTCCCACAATATCTGGTTCACCATATAATTCTTTTAACTCTCTATTTTTCCTTATCCTCCATGCATTTCCTTCTTTTCCTGGTATTATTGTAAATTGGCCTATAAAATACACACTGGTTCACATTAATGTTGTTGTACTTACAAATCATGTTTGTATACAATTTCTCTCATTAATAAATTGTATATAAAAACTAGACCCAGCTGTCTCTGATCATTTGGCAGAGAAAATAAATAATAAATAAATCAGACCAACTAATCCAGAAATAAGTTAAATAAGTCAGAATAAATAATCCTGACTGATGGAACAGTTGATCTTAGTCAGGAACAACAAAAGCTACACATAACACATATCACCTCACACCGTTTTACACCTATTCTTCGCTCATATTTTGGTTAAAATACGTACCTAGGTCTCCATCTCAAATTATAATGATAATGAAAGTAAGAGGTTACAAACGAAAACATAAAACTCATAGAGAAGTTATGGTCAGTAATTGTCAAGTCATTAAATTGGTAGGAAAATATTAATTGCCAATTACGAAAGTTTTCTATTATTATCGTAGTAATGGCAAAAAATAAAATACGTCACTCGTCCAAAATGAGTTTACCAGTCGTCCGGTAAACAGCTATTTCCCGGACTAGTAGCGTACTATATTAAAGCCTGGCTTAAGTAGTATATATAATTTTTTTAATGCGTGTGGTACTCTTTAAAAGAAATTGATCTAATATTATAGAACAAAGCCCTCAAGGCTGAAAACAGTTAGATATTGTTAAAGCGTTTCATGACCACAGCTTCAAAAATAAGCAAAGTTTAATAGCATAGTAAAATTAGTAGGTTAAAAAAAAAAACTATGTTGTTCGGTCCATGGCTCGGCACGGGGAGAGAATGCACAGAAGATGTGGAAATTCTTATCCTCCTTGTCCAATGCAAACTGCTAGTTGATTAAGCACTTGTACAATTGATGTCGATTTATTTTATCAATGTCCATGTCACAAGGAAAAATACTCTACAGGTGCGTTTTCCCCAATAGGAACACGTAATGCTCCGTCCTCACTCTATGGTTCTTGTGTCACTTTAATTATATACACAACATTCATCTGCAACATCAACTGCTATGTTTTTAAAATATGTAACACTGAACTAATAAGTTAACAATCGAAGGGTAATTAGGAGGGTTGAACACTTATATAAGAAACGTACTGTCATTTCTCTTGATGCAATATAGAAATCTATGCTAGAATCAAAAGGTTATCAAAGGAAAAGTAAACAAACAAACTAAAACAATAACAAATCTAAAAGGTGACGTCCCTTTAATATTTTAAATGTGATTAAATACAGCTCTTCAATAATAATTAAGGTTCATGTCCCTAGGAGAGGGCAATTTTCTGGGAAGGTTTACATCAAGACCTTTCATTCAAGTATACGGTTGACAGGTGTGCGGCATGTGGTTTTCTCAAAAGTTCAGATCCTTCATAGCTTTATATAAATACATAGATGGTAACAATTTTTTTTTTTTAGAATACTACATAGATAAACTGTAATATCAGTGCAATTTATGTAAAATTACGTTAAAGTTATGTAAAAGAGGGTTACGGGTATTTTAAAGGGTTGTTAGTAACAGGGATTTATTTAAATACGAAGTCAGAATTTTTGTTACGAAGCAAGTTTTCAAGGTTACAATTAATATTCCTAGAGGTAAGTACTTCTTAGGTATAATATCACATCATCTGTCCAAACCATGTAAAAATATAGCTAATAGGATGTATAATTCAATACAGGAAACGACGTATACTAATAAAATTTTATATTGTACTATTCGATAAATGTACAAACTTGATACAATATTTATTGCGGGGAAGCGCGATGGTCTAGTGGTTAGAGCACGGAACTTCGGTCCAAGAGGTCCCGGGTTAAAATCCCGCCAAATCACCAATGGATTTTATCTAAGTGATAATGCCGCAACCCTTAGATCTAGCCTGAAGTAATGTGAAAAACAATCCCAGGCTCGTGCCTAGCGCCCTAGGACAAAAAAAATCTATACATGTAACAAATGCCCAACGATCTTATGAAAATGATTTGAAGGCAAAAATGAAAAATATTACCTCAATCAACGAAATGAGAGTCATTTGAGTGATTATTATATGCTTCCAGCTATTTAATTACATCTTTAGGTAGAAAAGAAATACAGTACTATTGATAAGTTTCGTAGGAATTTAGCCCTCGCATTACAAATACCAACAAGTAGCATACACCAAAATATAAATACTGATACTAAAAAAAAATTGAAGCAACGGTTTGTACTTTAATACTTTTAATACGTTCCATTAAAGATCCCTCCCCCCTATGTTGGGAAGGAACAAGAGAACGTTATTTAATCCGCACCGTTGTAGAGAGCGCACCTGGACACGAGTGGGTCAGCCCATTTACGAAAAGTTTTACGGCTGAGGTCGGACTAAATCTTGTTACAACTTTGTAAAAGCGTTTCGTTAATGAGTTGTACGGACGCTCGAGCTTTCACGCCGATTGACCTCTCTTTTCTCGCTTCACGTAAATTACCAATCTCGTTTGGTTGGAAGTCGTGAATAATGGTGGACCACAATGACCTTTAAATGCTGGTAGTGGTCATAGAACAGTGAATAATGGTTTCTTATTTAGAGAATGGACGGTAACGAGTATCTAATACGCCTATAGTTCAGACTTTTATTTCAGACTCTTAAGAAAGTGTTGGAAAAAAGAAACTCAAGAAACCTTTGCCAACGCTACAGAACTAAGCAATTCTAATTTTATATTTATTAGAAACAACATGCATTGTTTTAATGAAACTAGAACCGATTGAAATAACAGATCAGACTTCGTACTACATTTGACAGTGTTGAAGCAGTGATAGAAATTCCTCATTTGTGGGTACAAATACTTTGTCACCAGTTGGTAAAAGTCCAAGTGAAAGTCATTAATGCTCACTAATATTTGGAAATTTCAGGCCAGAGCCAAAGATTACTACAATCTATGTGAAAGTTACAAAAGCAGTAACACAGATTGTTATGTCGTGAGAACATTGTCCAACACCTGTGATTATACAATGTTCGACAACTGGTCGCTGAAGCAAATATTTACTAAAACTAGCTGTGGTCCCATCTTACGCACGGAATAAAACTGTTTTAATTCCGAACAGCGGGATAATAATAATTCTTTTCTTCAACATTGGCATTATGCACAGCGTTTCTTGTATAGGAAATGTCAAAACCTGTACTGGTCATTTATGTCGACCTTTTTGGGTATTTATCTTTTACAGACATACCCTCGCATAAACTTTTTCTGTCTATTTAGTATTAGGATTCATATCCCAAAGTCCTCAGACGTTTTATATGGACACTCCGTATAGGTTTCTTAGTTTTATTATCATTCGTACTGTCTAAAATAAATATGCAATAAAAAGAATTGTATGAGAACATGTCACATCATCATACTTAAGTATCGATGCTATTAGTAGAACTTGTCGTTGTGTAATTTTTAAATAAAATTTTGACTGACATTACTGACACAGCTCACGAGAAATGCAAAAATAATGCAGGATCGACAGTAAAAATATAAGTCTAATGCTTATTCACTACGAGAATTTTAGCCACATTATAAATACTATAAAAGCCTCAGCAAGGGTACTAAGCACTAACATATTAGTAACAAGTTAATCTTTATTACACATTAAGCACATAAATATAACACAATATGCGTTAATTTTGGGACGGATTTGTGTTTATAGAAAAAATAGATAGAAAATCCAATCTTACAATAACATGTAAAATGCTATGGAATAACAATGTATAAAGCTAATGTATTGACCATGTGTTGGTCACATCTCAGTGCAGCTTCTAGTTCTTATTTGGTCTTCTTGATTTGAGCTGGTTTCTTGATGTAAGTCTGGATGTAAAAGTTAACGAAGAGTGCCATGATGACCGCAACATTGACGACCCAAATAACATTGTAGACCTGAGGTACGGTGCACCGGTTGTATAACAGGTATACCATGAAGCTGATGGCGAACACAAACTGGGTCTACACAAACACAAACATTAGTGTAAAGACATGGTAGCCCTGAGATACGGAGCACTGGTTGTACAACAGGTAAACCATGAAGCTGATGGCGAACACAAACTGGGTCTACACAAACACAAACATTAGTGTAAAGACATGGTAGCCCTGAGATACGGAGCACTGGTTGTACAACAGGTAAACCATGAAGCTGATGGCGAACACAAACTGGGTCTACACAAACACAAACGTTAGTGTAAAGACATGGTAGATCGACAATGTACAATGATTATTCGAACTAATCAGTAAATAAAATGACACTAATCAGGTGTTTAGTTAATTTGTGGATCAACCAATAATAGCACAGTTGTCCGGTCGTTTATAGAACATTTATTTTAGTGTGCATCGAATTAGTAATGGCTCGGTTTTCATATTCGATTACAAGTATAGGTATTTATTTATGTATTACACTCACCAGCTGTAACTTTGTGATATATTTCTTCCACCACAAGTACTTCTGAACTTCAGGTCCTAGTCCAGCCAGAAAGTAATAAGTGTACATGACAACGTGGACGAATGAGTTTAACACACCAAGAACTATTCCTTGCTCAGCTGAAAATATATTTCGTTTGTAAGATATAATATAAATAATATGAAGAGCTTTATATTTATAACAAGATCGGTGATGATACGTGTTTAAACGCTATCATATTAAGCATGTCCTTAAAAAGTAATAACTATTTAAAGAGGTATTTTTTTCAAAATCGATTAATTAAATTAAATCAAAAATATAAAACAATTTAATAACACTTAAATATGAAGAGGACCAAGCGTATAAAACCCCCAAAGTATACAAAAATAATGTTTTAATTTGTTTCCTAGGTCAAGACTAACTAAGCTTATGTGACTGTTGTATTACATTTGGCTATGAAATGAAAAAAAGTTCTGTTTAGCTTATTGATTAAGCCGGGTTTTCCTAGGCGCGTAGTCGGCCAGCGGAGAGAGGAACGCGGAGAGCGGACTCAGCTGGTCTTAGGTAATTTAATGTTACTGTTTTCCTAGCAGCGGAGCGGAATGCCATGTTAATTTCAATTCCGCTCTCCGTTGTCCGCTCTCCACTGGCCGACTCCGCGTCTAGGAAAACCCAGCTTTAAATCCATTCTAGTAAAATAAGATGAGTCATAAATCTCACTTGTTTTAAGATATTTAAAATTTCCATTTAAGCACAAACCCAATTTATTTTATCAACAAACGTATCACGAAATAAGCGTAAATTACTTATCATCTTTGTAGAAGCAAAGTTAATCTTGTAGGATGTCATACCTTGTATATACTTGACACTGAGCCAAGAGAACGCCACCATGCTGGTGTGATGATAGAGATGGAGGAAAGTCACGTGCGAGTCTTTCTTTCGTAGAATCATAAACACCTGCACAAACCTTATTATTGGACAACAATAAAAACCAGTTGCCGTACAGGTATGTCGGACTATTAAGTGTTTTAGGTGTTGATTTAGTGTATTTTTTTAAGTAATGAAACTTTGATGATAACGTTTAGTAAAAGTAAGCTATGATGAATACAAATTATAATATCTCAGAGGCTATGCCAACCACGTAGTTGTGTCATGAATACTAAGGACTGTCTTAGAGGATCTTTTCTGTTTGTCAAAAATGACACCTAATGCATAGCATATTGTAAAAACATATTTAAAACATAAAACAAATATTTTCTCTTACATTGTGTTAAATACCCAGTGTCATGGCAAATACGTTATAGAAATAGTTTAAATGTAATATTCGTTAGTGTGTAAGATAACCTATGGTGTTTATAGTAGTATAATGAAATCATAAAACCAGTCAGTGTTGTGATTTAGGAATTTGTGAGATTCTGGTAGTTTTACTTGATAATATAGGAATTGCTTAAACTGTTTGCCTTAGTTTTGTTAATTAAAAATGAGAGTGTTATTTAGTATAATGTGCGATAACAACGGAATCGTATATGACGTCACGTGCCATAGAAATCACTATCAATCCAAAGATGTTACTTGAAGTTGTGCCAATCAAGAATAAATACTTTATTGGGCACACTGTTTCTTTAACATTGGAGAAGTTCCAAAACCGTACGTGCCTTAGAGCTTTATATTGACCCAAAGATGTTACTTGAAGCTGTGCTAATCAAGAATAAAGACTGTATAGGGTACACTGTTTCTTTAACAACGGAGGAGTTTCAAAACGTTACGTGCCTTACAACTTTATATTGACCCAAAGATGTTACTTGAAGCTGTGCTAATCAAGAATAAAGACTGTATAGGGTACACTGTTTCTTCAAAATCGGAGGGGTTTCTAAACGTTACGGGCCTTGCAACTTTATATTGACCCAAAGATGTTACTTGAAGCTGTGCTAATCAAGAATAAAGACTGTATAGGGTACACTGTTTCTTTAAACAACGAAGGAGTTCCAAAACGTTACGCGGCTTTCAACTTTATACTGACCCAAAGATGTTCTTTGAAGTTGTACTAATCATAAGTTATGATTCTTACGGGTACCCTGTTGATTACAATAGAGGGGCTAATTGTCGCAAATGTGTTTTTTTTTCTTTTAATGACTAAAACTATCTGGTAAATACAAAAATCTACTGACACACTGACATTGACCACTATCCACTGACTAGCCCCATGGCTTGGTTGGCTCCAACAGATTCGTCTATGTATATATTCAGAGTAAACAATAACACGCAGTAGCCAAGAGTAGTAACCCAAGCCAGTATTCTTCCCTTGTTTGGGCGGTTTGGGAAAGTTCACCTTGAATGGCATTACAACAACGTGAGTCAAGAGCAACAGAGCTGTAGGTTGGAATGTTACTTCAATGGTGTCCCAATGGACACGACCGGCAAGCACGAGTAACAATGTGCTTGAAATGAGTTGTAAATGTGCCACTGATGAATACAATGGAAGTCCAAGGTTTATTCTGGAAATGGTTAACCTTGATCAAGTAAGTTGAGCTAATTACCTACAAAGTGTTTGGTTTTTTTGCTTATTTGTTAACACAACTACTTTGGGTAACAATCGTCAACGCATTGATTTTAAGTCACTCAGTCAGTTAAGTCACTCAATTTCATAAGTGTTATTCAATATACACAATGCGAGTGAAAATGTGTTTACAGAATATTTATGCGAAAACGTAAATCGTATTTTTAAACGGAGCTTCACTGTAAACATTCAACTTAGGAAACTAATTAGGTACTCATTTATGAAGTGACCAATTTTAATGACTAAAAAAATACTATACTGAACGTTATAGTATATTCAAAATGTAACATATACAAATTACCTCCACAAAACTATATATTCCTATTTCATTGAATAATATATTTTGCTGATGTTACTGTAAAACAGGTACGCGTACAATTTAATTATGATAAACTGTTATTTTTTATTATTTTCTTAACTTAATCAGGAAAGCCCGCTTTCCCCAAAGGGTTTTAAAAGATTATTAACATCAACTTTTAACGCGTTAAGTAGGGCTGGTACATTCCTAGCAGTTCTTACTCCTCGATGGCGGTAAAAAAATAATCTTTAATATATAACATTATTTACTTACAGTATCAATCATATCAACGATCTTAGCGAACAAGTAGCACCAAGATGCGAGATGAAGCTGGAAACAAAGAATATATCCATTACGATACATATTCAGTAGGCCGATAGTCAGCTGTGGAATCTCGTTTACCTTTATAAATGTCTTGAAAAGGAAACTAAGCCTGAAGTCCTGTTTTTTACAACGTTTTAATAAAGAAATGCCTTTGATACAACTATTTGACTGTTTTATTAACAAACGTTTAGATTAATCTTTCAATGCATAAAATTAGATATAAAGCTTGAATTTTAAGCATAAAATCATGTGTTAGATTACATAAGGTAAAACTTAGTTGAATATACGAAATGTATAAATGATCAAAACAGATCCAACTCTATTTAAAGTCTCCTTATTTAATATTTGGGATATGCTTTATATATGTTTAGTCCAATTTAAAAAAGGATTGAATATTATCCATTGATGACTGCTTACCTCGGTCCTTAAAGGATTCAACTTTGGGTCCAGCGGATGACATCCATGTTCGATTACATACGAAATGGCAGTACTGTGCGTAAAGAACTGTAAAACATTGTAAAATTGAGTTTTAAAAGTCGCTAACACCGTAACCCACACATGAGATAAATATAATACCATTTTTGGAAATCGTTACTGTCTCTCTTTGCTAAAAATAGCTTCCAATATACTGTAATTTATATTGGTCATTAAGCTTTAAGAAATGTTTTGCAAAGAAAACCAAACATTGTTTCCACGTATTATTCATTGTTACAATATTAAATTTATAGAAACAAATCGTAGCTCTATAAAAAAGTGCATAGCCTGTAACTGCAATAATGTTCTTTGAGTTTTGCAAAAAAGACTTTGCAATACAGTATCTACAAATGATTTATATTGGGTTATACATTTTAAACATGAGACCAGTCAACTTTAAATATTATGTGCTGAATAAACTATGTAGGTTAAAAAATCCAAACGTATTGTTTAACTTAATACCCCTTCGTAAATAAAGACTATTTAGAGTTATTTCCACAAACCTAGGAACTGTTATTGAGGCTACAGTGATAGCGTCTAGTTAACAATCAGAATCCGTCCTAATTACAATGCGTTGCATCAAACTATTTGTCAGCCTTGGGCAGTGTTGTGTAAATCAAACATAGCAGGTGAGAGTGTCTACACAGTGCTGGACGTGGACATCTTGTAATTGAGAGTGAAAGTGTGGACGGAGACAGGTTGTGGCGCGGGCTGTCAGACTCAGCACTCTGCAGACCCGGAAAACGACCAAGTCACCTTGGGACAACCTTCCACTCGACCGGTCCCGTTTTTCGACCAACCCGACAGGTTCCATTGTTTGACTCACAGCCAATTGACTAACCCGATCCATCCATTGTAAACGTCAGCTACTTTATAATAACAGCTATAAACAATGGCAATTTCTGGTAGAGAATATAATTTTGTTTCATTTTGTACTAATAATTGATAGCCCAAATTACATCTGAGTCCAGAATCAAAATAGCAAATTTCAGATTTGAAGGCTAGATTATAACCACTTGGATACACAGGGAACTCAGAGCTCATAACTTTTTAGGTATATTGTATTTATCGGAACCCGATACAAAATCATCTAGCTTTGAATAGTGTAATATCCTTTTACCTAACCCGCCATGTTAAACTTCCCTATCCCAAGCGTGATGTATACAACTTCCTTACTTCTCGAGTGATGTAAAGTTGAAAAAAACTCACTCGGTGATGTAATGAAACCCATTTAAATAACATTGAGTGCTTAACTTAAAAAAATATACCTCTATGGAGCCAACGACGTTCAAAGCTAGAAATCAGCTGTGCGCTTGAATATTATTGTTATGCTTTAAAGTATTTTCCTAACCTAGCTTTTGTTTGTAAAAGAACGTTACTGTTAGACGATGAGTGAAATGGATAATGAAAAATATTGTACGTAAACCCATGTATATTGTCGGGTCAGGTAAAATCGTGTACGTTACACGTTGCGCAAGAGCGTGTTTACATCTCTTAGGTGAATTATGCAACTCGCTTCCGCTCGTTGCACAACATTCACCTGCGTGATGTAAAAACGCTCTTACTACACTTGTAATGTAAATAGCTATAACACTCCTAGAGCTTCTCTCCTGTGTAGTGAAACAGCTTAATAGATGAGTTGAAGTTTTGATTATATCCCACCAAGCAATTACTCATAGTGAAGTTTTAACTAACTTATTTGAGACATAAATATAATGTAGCACTTTGGCCCTCACTTGCCAAGAGAACAGGATATTTATGTATAGTATTTTTGAAGAAATGATACATTGAAAATTATTTACAACATTAGTCGTTTGTTTACGAGTTGTTGTGCACTGAAATCCACAGTAATGAAGAAAAACAAATATACTTGATTTCAATGAATATAAAGCTATAAGTATAAGGTATAAGTTATAAGTAATAAAACTAAATATATGGAAACCGTTGTTCTACCCGGTTTGCAAATTGCCAAGTATTGACTAAAACAGGAGGGAAATAAGCATGTTTGTTCAATGAAGGTGATATGCACATTTTTTACTTAGGTAGATGGTAATTAGTATCTGTTTGGGGAAAATTCTTGAGGTTCCTTCACTGTGTATTTTTTAAATAGAGTGTTCGGGAAGAAATAACCACAATTGCCAGCCAATCAAACCTAGACTAGGAGGATTTCCATTTAGCTTATATGGGATTGTCACTTAAATATATTCTTTAAAATGTCATATTAAGCATTAGGTAAAAAAGCAATAGGTTTAATGAGTACTTAGGGTTGCTGCTGCAGGGAAATTAATAGTGTGTTTTTTATACAATATTAAAAGCCTACTATAAAATTAGATTTTTCCATATTGTATCAAAATATTTGCATAAACAAGTAAACTACAACTCTTTACTTATTCTCTATAACAGCTTGCATGGGGATTTCAAATTTTTTAATTTGTTTTTGTTTGGACAGGTTGTTTAATTTTCTCAATAACTGTTAACACCGCTTTAATATATTTTTGTCTAATCTCTACAAAATTGATATTAACAAAATTGCCAAACTTTGTGTTTTCAGGGTCAAAATGGAAATTCCAACTTTTACCATATAAAAAATCCCCGTTCGAATATTCCGACCATGGTTCACGAAGTCCTCAAATAAACATAGGTTTGAACGTTTGAATTAAATATTTTTTTAAATCTAATAATCTTTATCGAGCCATCGTGCAAACTAATAATAATAATATATAAAAAAATGCAAAACTTGATTGAAGTGTATTTTGTGTTGAAATGTATGTAACGTGATCAATAAAAGGTAGTAATTTTGTTAATTTAACTCTAAAACAACATCCATACAACGATACTAAAATTGAAATGGTGTTATCGCTATCAGATAGATTTTATATGGTTGGAAAAAGTTACATGAGTCTCACCCATCCAACGAGAGCTCCGTTGTAGATGACCTGGTAGAGGTTATAGACCATCATCAGGTGACGAAGGTCCATAGCCTTACGTTGTCTCATGATACTGGGGCCCAGCCACAGCACAAACCCCAGGTAGGAACTGAGAATGGCCAGAACAGGCCATGGTGTGGCCAGCAGCGCCCACGAGTTGAGCATGGACTCTGGCCAGACACACAGAATAATCAATCATATTTACTAACAGTGTTCCCACTATGCACTTATTAAAATTTGTTTGATATTATTGATCAGAATTTTCGCCTTTCTTTGGCCGATACAACAGTTTCGTAGACACGATACACATTTTAACGGCATTTTCTACTAAAGATTTACTTATGCCTGGGCATCAACTAGCTGTTAATTAGGTCATAGTAAAGTCTCTTCAGTAAAGAAAGTTTTTGACGTTAAGTTGGTACTTAATTCTTTACAGCAATTAAATAAGATATGGTGTCTTTTTATTTCAATTATTTGCGTTTAGAAGAATAAAAATCGGTCACCTCGTTATACCTACAATTGCATAGTCATTAGGATAGTAAATGTTCTCAGTAAGTACTAATATTTTCTAAAAGCAACAAAAACGATCCAAACGAGCATTAACATATTTCCCATAAATTATAAAAGTTATTAGTATACTAATGTTGAGGTCAGGTAAATTAAATGTATTTCTTTTGGTTTGAGATTGTTTCGAAGACACAATAGCTATTCGGTGTCAATAACCACATAATATATTTAAAATCCAGTTTTTTTATTTCCTACAGATTAAATCAACTCCTGCATAGGATTGGAATTGTTTTTACACTCATCCCATGTATCCAACTTTGATTAGACATTGATCCTACTGTTAGAATACTGTGACAGAGAAATTAGTGTTAAAAGATTCTTTTAAACATGAATAATTTTATCCAGTATTTTTGTGAGATCCTAGTCCTAGGTCTGAAATATTTTTCAGCATAAGTAGAATAAACACTTAAATTTTTTTTATTAAGTTGAAAGCGCTAAAAAAACATTAGTTTGAATTGCTTGAAAAAAAAACCAGGTAAAACTAAAGTTCAGCCTTAATAACGTGTATCTGTTTGTTGTGCGACATTGTGATACCAAAAATAGTTATTGAGTCTTTGAAGGCGTTACATGAAAGTATAATGCATTCGAAGCATCAAACGTATAATATTTATGTAGTTAAGTCTATAGATTTACAATCTAATTACAGAATAAATAAGTTAAATTTTACCTTGCAAATATAAAAATGTTAGTTTGAAGTTGGAGTATGGTTTTAACGCATGTGAATATAGACTATTTTGACTGTGATTTGGGTTGTTTTCAAGGTTAAACAGGTAATTGTCTAAGTAATCCATGAAAACTACGAATATTTTTATCTTTTCTCGACAGCTGACATAGATCGTCACTTTGTTGATCACTCTCCAGATAAATCGAGAGACACATTGTATATAGTAAGATTAAATGTGTCGAATAATGTAGCCTGTAGGTTTATTAGACTCAGATAACTACTATACTGTACATATTGTGGGCTCCAAAAACGACTGTTTTGATTGCTTGCATAGCGACCTTAATTACACGCTTATTGTGAAGATAAATTGCATAGGGCAAAATACATTACATAAGCATGTACGTGTAAGCCATTTCAGTCAACGGATTTGGGGCAGGTCCGTATTTAAACTTAAGGGGTAATCATGTTAAAATCATGTTTCTGCTCCTTTGTAAATTGACTATTTTATCACTTGGGCGTAAAGTGACTCTTTTCGACCCGAGCTCAAGCGTGACGAGTCTGCAAGAATGCAACAATAGCGATAACTGATGAAACCGATCGATTCCTAATATCGAATCATGCGATCTAATACGATAGAAGATTACCTGTGATTACAACTGCTGACTAGGGCCTAAAAAGCATTTTTACTCCTTAGCCTAGTTGGTAAAAGAACTTCTTTAGATTATAAACGGCTGTTGTTGCTGCAGTATGACGAAAAATAATATTAATTAATTTAAACGACTTATATAAGTAAGGAAAACAATGCAAAATGTATTTATGTACTCTTGTTTTTCTAGAAAATGGTTCTGTTAAGACCCCCAATAATATGAATTTCCCTTATACTCCATATGAAAAACTTCGAAGGATGGAATTCCGATTTTGTAACGACTGTGGGGTACTTACCCTCATCCAACGGAATGTCCTGGGTTGCGTTGAGGGTCGCTGATGTTGCGGTCATCGTCCCCATCTAAAATCATAGCTAACTTGTATACACTATGGACTAAACCTTATAGGAATAGCTCGCCGTGTTTACTAATCCATCCTGAGCACTATTAGGAAGCGTTTACTAGGCATTAATGTAGTCATAATTAACATTGAAATAGTAATACATAGCAAAATAACGATTTGTGTATTGCCTTCAAATGACGAAATAATATACGTGTTTGGGTATCTAGGCCCCAGTATCTTTCTAGCATGCAGCTGTAGCAGTCTTATTATTATAATCAATCTTATATTTCAGTAGCTAAATCTTTGCATTTACATGGGCTTGTTTTGATTTAAACAATACTATTCAAGTTAAGTTATACTAGTGTACCTGTTGCTCGAATTCGAGCAATTGCATTACAGGCAACTCAAAGATTATGGAAATACTCACAATCTACACAACAGTTAGATATAATCAAAATCTTTTGTAAATATCTTATCTTTTTTCAAAAAGCTGATCTTGTTTTTTTTTAGTGTTTTCTACAAATTTTTCCCTCTCATAGCCGCATTAGGTTGTCTATGATAACGATTATAAAAGAAAAAAAACATTATTTCTATTTCTTCTACTTGGTTGTGTTCTATGACTTTTTCTATGTTTTCATTGTTTGCAAATTGGTTATTTCAATGATTGCTCAAGAAATGTAGAACAGTGTTCATTCAGTTTTATTTTTAGCCTATATCAAATTGTCCAGGATTTCTCATTCTTTTCCATTCTAATAATTACACCAACCCAAGTTTCGTCTACAGATGCAATATGCCAGAGAATATCACCTATTGGATACAGACATTAATCTCCAAGAAGTGGTAAAAAAGGCAGAAACCAACCCATACAATAGATATAAGTTAACTCCATAAGATATAACTTTAAAAGTTACTGTGATATTAGGATTTTCCACTGATTTGGTAATAGAACATTATATTGCAAAACATGACACGATGCAGAAGAAAATCAATTTTAAAATCAGAAAAATCCATTTCAAATACTGTACTTCATTTTGACAAATTCAATAAATCACAATTTAAATATTAACAGCTGTTGCATTAAAAAGTAGTGTAGAATTATGCATATGGTCGTAATGTAAGCAAATCTGAATAGGCAACTTTAAAGGCTTCTGGGGCAGAGCCCCAAGGGAATTTACCTCTTTCCTCTTTTGATGGCTCATCTACAGACCAAGACCTTTCTTTAGAGACCCCTACCAAGTTTCTACGTCCAGCCGTTCTCTCAAATTAGCTGTGACAAAAACCCCGTTTTCCTCCATAAGAATAACATGGGATGGGAATTTAAAAAACACGGGGGCAGAGCCCCAAGGGAATTCACCATGTTTCTCTTTTGATGGCTCATCTACAGACCAAGACCTTTCTTTAGACACCTCTACCGAGTTTCTACGCCCAGCCATTCTCTCAAAATAGCTGTGACAAAGAAAAACAGTTTCAAATTAATATATAGATTAATGGAAAAACGATTTCCCAACCAAACAACGGTTATCTAGTGTTTGATCGAGTTGTGCTGGAACCTTGGCTTTACCTTAATAGCTGTAGACATGTGGAAGAGGATTCTAATGTATTGCTGAGGTAAATTAAATATTACTCTAACCTGTTATTATGAAATGTCCCAATCCGTTACAGGTAGTGTTTTCCTAGACTTAGACCGTGTAAAATATACTTTAGCTAACTTAAACGCAATTAAGTGTTACCTAATTAAGTGTTACCAGTCTAGCTAAGTTTGGGACTGTCGCTTATTTGAAGTTAGTGTCAGTTAAGACGATATTTTTATAAGCATAATATATGTTGATGATTTCTACTATTTCATTTCAATGCTGTTGAGACTTGTGGTTGAACATACACGTATTTTAAAACAAAACAGCTGTACTTTATTTAAAAAACCGGATTTAATCCCATTTTATCCTATATAGACACCAAAATATTACAGCTATAGTTACAAACGTAGCTGATCAAAATCAAACCTACATTTTTTGTAGGATTTGCACGGAATCATAAGGAATAAAACGATGCAAGTTATAAATTATAATATAAAACAATAGTAGCTTGGGCACAAATTACTTGGGGTACTATATGAAATAAAAGAATTTCGCGAAAAAATACATGTTGCTAGTAATCAACAGATTTGAAGTAAAGATACCATTCAAATAACATAAAGCTTTAACTCTGTTGCTCAAAAAAACTAACTTAAAAACGGTACTTACCGTAAGCCGAGCACACCACTAAGCGTTTGGGAAAAAATCAGTGTGAGCAAATCCGTGAGGCAGGTAGCCAAGGCCGGGGACCTGCTACACCAGACCTGGGCTTGGGCAGACGGCCTCGAGACACGAGGAAACTGACAGTACTGGATTCTTCGGTTTTTGTATACTTAAAAGTCTTTGTACTGGGGGATACAAACTCATACATACCCGTTATGCAAGTTTCAAGATTCGAGACCCTCCAGAATAGTTGTTTCCAACCGTACTAATGTGGTAAGAATAGGCTCATATTATACCGTTAACTAAAACAAACCGTAACACCGTTGTCTTCAGCATGAAAACATCGTCATATATCATATCTACCGATATACCTATCATTTAAAATTTATTATTATGGCAAAAAAATAATTACTTACATTAAAATGAATGAGTGTGCACTAACTACGTGACTAAAATGGCAACTAGATTATACAGTACTGCATACTGCAGAATATTATGACTGATGGTGCTGTATGTACTTAACATTTTAGATTGCTTTGTGCTGGTTAACCTAGTTAGGCTACTAATTAATCCCAAACAATCGAAAGACAAAACTCTTACTTTAATGGGTTTTAGAAGATCACTTAACTGCATTGTGATTTTATTTGTAATTTGAGTACGACTGACGTGAATGAGATATGTTTATAACTTTAACTTAAGAGTAAAACACGAGAAACTGGTAACACCACGAAACATAATTGGGCAATGGGCACGCTAAATCCCAATATCAATCTTGATTATAATGTTTAAAAAAATGTGTAGTTACAAAAGTTAAAGTACTGCCTTTTAAAACATTTTAGGCGATAATTGATGTTACTCTGAATGCAATAGCATTATATGGTTTATAGTTTATAGTTCAACTTTATACAAGATAAGATAGTCTTTAAGACACGAGTAAAAAAAATTAGGTACGAACGTTTGCGAGTGACTTCTACGAGTGTCGTAAAGGCTAATACACGTTTTTGTTTAATTACTAACAATCACTACTCATAAGGTCTAAGAGAGGTTACATTTTCGTTTATAACCTCACATTGCCACTGATTGTGATGCAACGACTCATTGTTCGAACCACTCACTCATTGTATAAACAATTGATTGTACTTGACAGCATTGCAATTTCACTTCTTTTCTCTCAATCCTTGAACCTTATTGGTCCATCTTGTACTGCAAAGTAACAAAAACAATGCTGTTAAGTAAGTAAACAATACTGTTAAGTGAATCCTTTCAATTCCAAGAACTACATTAAAAAGGCTGGTTAAAAAAAGTAAAATAATAACGTAATTAAAAGTGTCATAACGTAATCATAGGTAGTTTATTAATTCAATTAACAAATTAGCACCATGCTGGTAAAGGGGAAAATATATTATTTTAATCCTTCAATTATGTGTCATAACAAACTTAAAATATATGCTTTGTGTCATAATATTAGAAGATATTTAACATAAGGAGATAAACGGAGTAAACTGATGTCACCATCTACTTTTTAGCCCCAGAAGTAATTGCCATCAAGTGCAGTGTGTATTCACAACTAGAGCAGTTTGGTCGTCTGTCCTGCCCCACCGCCGCCGCCGCCGCCGCTCTCTGTATTCAGAACATAACCACAACTGCATTATTCATGCCGCCTAACGCCTCAGATATTCATTCATTGACTGAGGCGAGTTATGATTCAGTCCAAAGCGTGAATCCTGGTTTCACTTTAGAGCCTCTTGAATTACACATTTCTCATTCCAAATGTATTTTTTAATGGTTACTTTTCAAAGTTTTCAACCATCCCAATGAATTAATTAGTGATAGCTACGTATCACGGCATTTTCTAAGCGTTATAATTTTAATAGTTTTATTTTTTTTAGCTCTACAGTTTAAAGGTGCTGTGTAAAACAGAAACCAATTAAAAGGTTCTAGATGATCATATTTATTTTATTTATATTATACAACATTTTTTATTTTACTAATTATATCTAGGGAAACATACTTGATAAATATTACAACTAACAAAACTGTATTTTTATGTAGGTAGTACCCATACTTAGGTGTTTTAAGAGTATTTCTATTATGCGTTAACTTTAGAAGTAGGATTTTCATGAACACTTTTCAAAACTAAATTGGTAATATAATATTACATTTTCTGGTTTATGTACAACTTGACTCGTAAAAGCAGGGTGTTTCAACTAAACAAAGAAGATTATCATCTAGTCTAATAAGAATATGTGACTGCCATGCAATTTCAAACAATAAATACGAGTATAAATTAAAACTTATAAATACAAAATTTAAAAGACGTACTATACTAATACAGTTCAATAATAAAAATCGTGATTTTACTTTAAATATCAAAGTTACAAAGAAACAACTTTGATAACGAACGCGTATTTTCTTTGATTATGGAACCGTTTAAATTATTTATCTAAAACATAGACTTTTGGCTAAGGCCATTAGTGCACCAAAAATTTAAGGAATCCGTTTAGAAAAGATTTTCTAATTCTTGACACGTATGTACATAAATCAAATTATGACTTGTTAGAACACTAAAAAGATTTTTTTTTAATAATACATGGTGGTTTAAATATTCAATCTTGTTTTTTCCTTATGTACGCGTTGATGTAAAACTTGGAGAAGAGGTACAAGAAGACGAAGCCGTTGAGCATCGTGTAGGTGGTGAAGAACTTTGGCACCTCACAGTCTCGGACCAGCAGACTCAGTAGGAAGGTGACGATGAATATGAACTGCGCCTGCAAACAACAATGAATAACATCAGTGCGATGAAAACTTGTATCCGCTATAGTTCACACCATCATACATGTTTCATAACGTTTATCCAACTTCCCTATAGGGAAGTAATTATTACCGTAGATGACACGGTAAGACTTTTACACGGGACCGATTTACTTTTATTATTTTGATGTCCTCAGAGGCCAAAAACACCATTCGATCAAATCTTTATTTATGAGTATTTATTTATGTTCAGTTTGAAATTATGGGTCACAACCCTACGTTTAAATTTGAAAAAAAAGAACTTTGTATCCAATATGGCAGATCCAAGATGGCAGCAAAAAATTTATACCCAGTCAATATGAAGTACTGACTACACTACAATGATCTAACATGGTCCGGAGATGATATCTGAAATGTAGAAAAACATAGGGGGGAACTCATTTAATACTGATTTAATACTCCGTGAACACGATAACTTGAGTAATTTTTGTCCGATTTTTATGAAATTTGGTGTAACGGTGTAAGGCAGGATAAACATGACTGAGACCGCGAACCAGCATGATCGGACCATGAGAACGGGGTTTAACGGGTGGTTTTATGGGGTCAAAATTGGTATTTCTCATTTTTGACACTCAAAATAAAAAAATTCCCAATCATCTCTAGACCTTTTTAAAGAGATTTAAAAAACAAATAATTTAGTATATCAAAGGATTTCTGTTCGGTTATTAGTAACGGAGAGGATAAAAAAAACCAAATTTAAAATTCCCGTGTTATTCTTATGGAGGGCATCTAAAAAGTTGCTATACTTCATAAATCATTTAAAGTTCAAAGTTCTCGAAAGGTTATACATTTAAACATTTGTTTGAGTCTTATCAATTTTGATTTGACCCTAGTAAAACGCGGAATACATTATTTATATAAAATAATTGTTAAGTATTGTATGTATTTTATTTTTAATTTCAAAGTATTTCAAAGAATTAATGATAACAAAATATATATATCTAGCCTTGGAAACAGATCAACATTACCATTCTTAAACAATATTTTATGCCTAATGACAAAATTTTATTCATGATATTTTTATCAAAATTAAATCAATCCCCGTACACTATTTATAGTGATATAGTTTTTTTATATAAAAACAATTCATATTATAAAATGTATGTGTAATTTGGATAGTAAAATAATAGTATATTCAAATTTAATAGTAGAGTTCAAAGCTTACAATAAATGTCGAACCTTAACGAATATCGTTATCATAATGTGTCTAGTAACCGTGATTTCGGCGTGACTATATTGAGTTTTTGGAAATACTACTTAAATCAAAAGACATAGGTTTGTAAAATTCCCTTTAGAGAATTGAAACTTCTGTCAGTCTTTAGTTTGATTTAAAATGTTTTACGGTGTTGGATTTTTCGGCTTTCTTTAGTAGGGGTCTAGTTACTACCCAATATTGACCTTTTGTAAGCATCATAAATATTCCAACGACAGATGATACCTGAGTTCAAAATAGAACCCGTTGGATCAAACTACAACCAGGATTCAAAGGTCATTTGAAAATCATCTAATAAGATAACTGAATACTCTAAAGCGGCCCACACACTAGCGCGCATGTGCCTTGCGTGGCTCGTGGTGAGGTGACTGCGAGCGGCTCTAGGCACATGTGCGATTCAATTGGTAACCACACACTAAAGACACATGCGCGCAAACCACCGTCTTTGGCGATTCAAATAGTGGGCTATAACAGCAAATTCAACATATATTATATGTTTTATTGAAATCATTCTAATAAACCCCTTTGTATCGCCCCCATGTAATTTTTACCTACTATTTGTTTTTCATTTTGGATTTTTCTTAACAAGGAAATTTTTTTTAAGTTGCAAGCAAAGTCACTAAAGAATCAAATTTGCCTTCAAAAAATACATTAGACGTGATTATACTTCAATTGATAGGGTGAGTTATTAGTTGTATGTACTGTATTATGGTTTTTGTGTTTACAATAAGCTTATGGGCCTAAAAAAGTGAGAAATAAGGTATTAAAGAATATGAGGGTTGTATTATTTAATATAAGGGTATAAGGGTCGTATTTAGAGTAGCCTATTAGGGTTATAGACTTAGATTTAATTAGTTTAATTAGTTCTAATTAATTGGTTCACATCGATATGAAGCTCTCAAAGAGTTGATTTCAGTCTCCACAAACGTATCGCCACTGTCAGGAAACACCCCCTTGCATTTTGTTATTAATAACTCCTTAATTTCTTTTCTCATGTATTTGTTTGAAAAGTTTACACTTTTCACGTCCCAATAACACGTTTGTGATCTATAAAGCTCTATAAACTCAGACCAAAACTTTCTTATGTCATTACAGGACATCTTAACCGCACAACAAAGAAGTTCATAACCTAAAAACAAGGACAAATAAAATACAACACGTGGGGCAAGTGTTAATGCCGTTAACTCAACGGCAGTTAATGTTACACTGTGCCACGCAGGCGCAGACCTTGTATTTCCCGATTTACAGTATATGCAGCTATGGTTAGTACTGCTAGCTTGCGAACATATGCCTCGGTTTCCCACAGACTGGCGCGCATCATATCTCGCGCACTTGTGACGATGCTCGAAGGTCCGGCGGCAGGCACCAGGCACCTCGCATGCGCGTCGCGAGCATGGGCACATTTACCCACACATTGAGGCGCATGTGCGTAGAGCTGTTCGCGCGTCACATGTGCGCGCACAAGCGCCCCAGTGTGTGGGCCGCTTAACTTAATGCCACTAAGTGTTACATGTAAGCTAAATTAAATTACATCAACGTCAACTAAGAACAGACCAATTTAAAACGAAGACGATGGTTGTTGAAGTGTCTGTTATAATATTATTTAGACTTCAAAAGTCGACCTGGCCTGACCTTGGTACAATCCCGGTACAAATGCCACTACACTCCCACGTTTTATTTGGGTCTTAAGCTATTTCTAGATGCGCAAAGCCGATTAGAGGACAATACCATAGAATCCCAATGACTCAGATTACTTTCCCTCACATCGCAACCATCTCAATATAGACTTTGACTCTATAATAAACATGTATTTCGAGTATGTTTGCACTATTATTTATACTCTAAAAATCCCATGAGGAAGTGTTTAAACATATACATTGCATTGCCCATGTTCATAAAATTGCAGTTCTAATTATAATTCGAAATTGACTGTTAGATTTTCGGATAGTTTAGTGTAACATTTTTTTAAACTTATATTTTACCCAATACACATCCAATAAAGTAATAATAAACAAATGTTACGAACATATTATACATTTTTTGTCTTGTTAGTACCAAACATAAATCAACGATTATTTATGTAGCACTTTTTCCAGGGAATATCGAACACTGTTATGATAATAAATTAAAGACAATTTAAATTTATACGAATCAATAGTTCACCAACAACAGAGTTAAACTAAACTAGAACAGGAAAAAGGGAAACGTTAGCGATTTAACGTCAGCTGATAAAGTCTGAATGAAGGGAACAGTATCAACACTCAGTATCAACAGGTGGAATGTTATTGCTAGTTAGATGACATGTCTGTTGACGTATTCAACAAAAACATCCTAATGTGACTTCGAATCGGTTCGGTGTTCCGGCTTATATCAGCCAGGTGGCAATAATACCTCTGCAAACCAATTATAACTGTAAACAACGTTAAACCTTTCAGAACTAAGAATACAACCACTTAACCATCACTGTTGAGTGTACAGTCTCTATGAATACCTGGCGCGCCCATTACTATCCTTAAATCCTTAAGAATACTCGTATGTATACTAATGCAAACAGATATTCCACGAATTAATTGTTTTCTATTAAAATACTATTATTAGTCATCATGCACATTTAACAAAAGTTTTTTACATACATAACTATTCTTTAGTAGTTATTTCTTTCAAAATTTAACATTTTCTCAGGAGTATATACACGCATTTTTAAATCATAATTTACATCGCATAGTCTAGATGCTGTGGTAAATCGTAGTAACGAAGTAAACCATTAGAAAATAAGTACTCTGCCGGTAACAAAAAAAAAAAAAAAAAACTAAAATTACCGGTAATTTCTTTTACTTGCCAACATTCAGTCTTCGAAATGTTAAAGTCCGTTTTAAATATTTGTACAAACACTTATTAACATACCAGCTGTAACCTAGTGATGTATGGCTTCCACCAGAGATACCGCTGTACAGACGGTCCCAGAGCTGCTAGGAAGTAGTAGCTGTACATACACACGTGTACAAACGAGTTGACTAGACCTACAGCTACCACCTGCTCTCCTATAACATATCAGTAACATATTGTATTAATACGTTGACTAGCTTCTAAGTTACCAAGTGTTACTTAGCTACTATGGCGCTATTCCAAGTCCTCTAAATGAATATTATTTCGAAATAGAAAATACGGTACACGAAAAAGATACCAGGTTAATAACAGGTACCAGGTCTATTAATGTGTTCATTCAGTTTTTAGTAACGATTGTTCTCGCAATTGCAGTTCCCTGATGAGTTTCCTAAAATCCATAATGGACGGGTCTCCTACGACACCGGACAGGTCTGAAACTTAATAGCTTCGTAATGATCACGCAAGACAAGAAAAGACATAACCAATTAAAGTTCAATGAACTTCGAAAGACTGTACAATAATGTTAATATTAATCTTATACTACTCACCTCTCACGTATTTCAAGAATATCCACGTGGATACTACCATGATCGTGTGGTGGTAGACATGGAGAAATGTCACATGAGACTGCTTCTTTCTGACGACGAAGAAGACCTGAAAAAATTAGTCTTAACTCAGAAAGTTTGCTCGAAGCCAACACATGTTTTTTCTACCACTGAAATATTGAAGTAATCTAAAAACGAAAGTAACGATATTAACCAATACTTACTGTGTCAAGTAAATCCGTCAGTTTTGAAACAAGGTAGTACCATGAGTTCGCGTAGAACTGAAAAAAAAAACAATATTTAAGTGAAATTATATTTTATAAGTGGCCAATGTAATTTACACCTCTTTTAGTCCTATCCAATTAAATAACATCACATTTCATTGGTTCATTTCCCTCACTAATACAATGTCACACTAATCTAAATTACTAGTCAATCAACAATCTAACATCTTGGGCCCCTTTACGTGCTTATATAGCAGAATTTGGTTGGAAATGACATTCGGAAATAACAACATTAAATACAAGCAGGAAATAATTTGCTGTTGTTCGCCAAGAGGAAATACAATACCACCAAGTTAAATCTTCAAAATTATGATTCATAAACAAATTATAAGATTAAAAACAGAAATTATAACATAGCCAAGGTATGTTTCACATAATGGTAACTGAGGGACCTCAATTAAGTTTGTATTATTTTCTTACAATTTTTTTATGTTAGAGCAGGCAGGTTAGCACTTAAGAATACACTGACGAAGCCACACTAAGCATCAAAAACAATTAAATACTTTTCAGACTGCTCCATCCCCTAACTAGTTTAGCCTAGATTTAAATTGCAGAAACTCTACCGACAATTAATTATCGTCACGATCAACCCGATTTTTTTATTGTGAGACGAGCACTGTAACTTCTAAGTTAAGTGAGCAAGGCTGAATATGATTAAATCATGTATTACTACAAAAACCAATGCAAATTAATGATAAATAGGGCGATAGATTGCTATTATAACCCTCAAAATTATTTATATGGATGAGTAAATTACTTATCCTGCAGTTTTACGCTATTCGCCACTACATCCCTGCCTCCCCTTGTACGGTCGTGAGATAGATGGCAGTTTAACCTCACACATGTCACTGTCACTCATAAGGTAATTAATGTCTGCTGCTGTATTAAGTCTTGTCACAACGATTTGTGGTAAACGTATTTAGCGTGTTTAACGGTAATTAAGACACTCGTGTCTCGTGTTACACTAAACTAGAGATTTCACTGACGAGAATCGCGTATTATCTTGTTAGAGAGGATTTAGGTGTATGATTAATTATTGTAATATCTGTACAATTTGTAAACAAACTTTGTCATAGACGTCAGTAGTTAATTGTAGCTATGTAGTTGTATTTTCTTTGTGATTAATTTCAATTCTTAATCTTGTGACGTTAGTTGAAGATCTACACTTCCCATTAATCAAGACGTTTGATGCGTGCAAAGTAATATGATGAGTTTGATGATGAGTCAAACGGGCAAGACATGGTGTCCGCAGCGATTTAAGATAGTGCTGATAATCACTGGCCTCAAACCAGCAAAATATACAATATCAGCCAAAACTAGAAACAAAAATAATATCGTAAATGTCAGAGTTAGTTGTTTTTAGGTATATTAACTACCATTTATTTCCTGGTATCCTACCATCACAACGCACTTTTCAACTCAGTGTATTCGATACAACATCGATCGTGGTCAGATTAGTGCTATAATCTGACAGAAGCAATGTTATTTTAAGTGGATTTGAACTGTATACCTCATGCTTTAGCGGGTTGATGTCTTGAGGTATCGGATGGCACGTGTGGTTCAACACATACCAGATGGCGCCTTCCACGAGAAAGAACTGAAACAGACATGTATAGTTACCTTAAAAAATACAACCTTATTGGACGAATATGAGTAGTTAAGCTAAAATTGGTTTTATAAATGTATATATAATTAAATAGTTTAGTAACTGTTAGAATAAAAGCAACGTGTTAAAATTTCCCAAAATATTATCAGTTTGCACTCATTGAAAATAATTCACTTTGATTTAAAAATATATATAACACAAGCTAATGACACGATTGACCTGTTATCTTATATTTCAGAATGTGCTTTCAGCGTCTCATACTCATGTTTTAGCTTCATGGCTTAAAATAAACTCACCTTAACAAATATCCTCAAATTGTATAGTACTTGAAATAAGTTGTAACCCATCATTATGTTTCTGATCTCAAACGGCTTTTGCGTGCTCATGTAGTCGGGGCCCAGTTTGAGCACAAAGTACAGGTATGCGACGAGCAGCGCTACAATGGGATACGGACTGCTCATGAACACCCATTGATCTATCTCGTGAACTGAAACATAACAAAAATATCAACCTAATTTAAAAGAAAAAAGAAAACAGCAAAACTACCTTAACTCAGGGGTTAAAATATGTTGATTAACTCAAGGTACTACGTTTAAGAGTTAATAACTTATAAAATACATATTTTTAAAACATGTTTTTAGTAACTAAAGTATTTAAGGGTATTTAGAGAGCTGAATATTTTATTTAAATACATGTTTTTCGCATTACATAAACGTTTGCCACAGTTGATTTTAAATAAATATACTCATTTACTATTTTATATCGTAAGCCACCGCCAACAAACGCTGATTTCAAATGTATCACTGAATCCAAATTATTATTACAGAAATTCGGTTAGCTTACCATTGCCTCTTAAGCTGCTCTCAGTTGTTTCGTTGAAGAGATGAGGATAGATCCGGCAGAAGTCATACGTACAGTTGGCCATTTTCTGCAATCAAACATTTTATGTATTACTTTCAAGGACCTCATAGATACCTTATTTTGCAACCAGACTAGTATCCTACCAATTAAATAAATATTAAATCACCATTAATTATTTCAGATACTTGCTGTTTTAATCGTTGGCTGATTGTTTTAATGTATGTTAATATTTTTACTTACACTTTACTTTGATTTCAACCCATGTACTTAAATAGAGAAATTTACGTTAAAAAAATTCAAGGGTTCTCGTAAAATGATTACTAGGTTATCAATGAATTTAAATATTTGATTTTAATTGATTGATTGAATCATTGTCTTTCGAATATACTATATTATTATAAGTCAGTAAAATTCATAACGATCATTTTTTTATTAGCTAGCTTAATTTTCTTTAAATTGTAATGAATAGCCTTAATTAGCCTATGGCAATACAGTGATTACAGTTGGTTTCTGAGACAGATCTTTTGCCTAACCTGCTGGACCACATGTGGTGTCAAAATCACTTGCTTGTAAACTTGATTTAACATCACCCTGGTTATTAAAACACTTAGAAAACTGTGTACGACTTTGATTATTGCAGAATGTATTTTAGAAAATGTATTACTGTAATCGTTTTGTCTTAGGCATGTTACCTTTATGTCTATACTGATTACAGAAAATAGCGAAACTATATCATCAATAAAGGTTTATGAATTATCTCCGATTGCGATTCAAATGTACATTATTAAAACTTTTGAAAAAGGTTGTTTTTTTACCTAAGGTAAAAAACATTGACCCATATTATGGCTCAGATAAAACTAAAACTGAAATAAATAACAGACTTACTGAAAGAGACGTAAAGGAGCTAGCAGGAACCTGTGATAGAGCCTGGGTACAACTGACTATTGATAAGATCAAACATGACCTGGTCTAAGTGTTGGCAAATATCCTCTCGCATACCATTGACTGAATGACTGATTTGGTAATACACTCAAGATCTCACACCTTTACATTGGCCGGGCCTTTCTCTTTATATTGATATGTTAAATCAAATAAACTGGATCCTTCAGGGTTTTAACGTTTAATATGAATTATATTTTGCTATTTTTAGTGTTAAGACTTTATATGCACGGATCTATAACCGGTATAACTAAAACTTTTAATTAAACAAACTTGCAAATTAAGATCGTTCCTTGTGAAAGAAAGGAGCCGCGAAAGCTCCTTTGAGTTAACCCTGCAGAACTTGGATAAGGTATCAGCAAAGGGAGCCAAGCAGGATTCAAAGAGACCCGCATCCCTAGGCTGATAACGGCCCGCATCAGACCGCAGCTGATAACAAAAGACCCAGTAAATTCTGCTTCGTATCAGCCAAACTTCCCAAACACTTCGTTAGAAAAATGTAATCTACTAACAAAGTGATGAACAGTAAACTTGTTCTATGTCTACGAGATGCAATTACGAAGCAAATAGTGCTAATGTTGTAGTTTAAAATAGCTTTAGATATATGTGAGGATTATTTGGCACTGAAATACGTAAGCAAGGTACTGTTGATAGTTAGAGTACTTCATTTTTTATAGTGAACTATACAGACAGTAAAAGTATAATAAAGGAGTGTTCCAAATGTGTTTTCAAATCGTCTTATTACAACGTTGAAAGCGTTGCTTACACGAATTGCACTTAGTAAAAAATAGTTATTTTGTAAGTAATATCATAATCAGGGATGATCTATTTGTCGAGGAAACGTATATCCTTCAAATAATCCTACACAACCGGAGGATAAATGAATTCAGATTGGAAAAAACCTCAGATTTAAAAACAATGAACTTTTTATACAGCTTAGTTAGCATATCGAAAGTTGTAGGGATTTAAAGTTGTATTTTCAATCATGTGTATGTAATAATGTCATAAATTTCAACTAAGTGGTTTCATCTGATAAATTTAAACAACAAATTAGAATTAGTTTAATAAAAATTAGTTATTTAACAGCTTAGACAGAACGTGGTATTGAAGTGGGTTGAGTTATCCATACTACTCCCACTCATTACTGAACCCCTTATTGAACCCCCTAGTGGTAGAGTGTGGGGCTTAGGAGCCCGTGGTTCCGGGTTCAAATACCGCCAATGACCAATCGATTTCATCTATATGACCCATTAGGACTAACCTAAAGTAATGTGTAAAACAGCGGGTTAGAGCCTAGCGGCCCAGGATGTGCAGGTGGGACATAAAAAAACTACTCCCACTCCAAGGAGTGGGTCAAGTGAAAGAGAGCAGAGCTTTATTCCTCTACGTCTCGGATTCGAATCCCCCTAATCGCCAACGGGTCTTCACAGTGTTATAATATCACAACTCTCTAGACCGAGCTTAACGTAAGTGAAAACGGTTCCTGCCTCGTTTCGGGCCTTGTTTCAAATAATGTGAAAATAAGTTGACATGAATGTGATACGCAAAAATCACCTTTATCTCTCCCCTTTATCGCCTGCTTCATCCATTCACCCAACGTTCGGTGGCAGTGGTTTGTAGGGTGTACCGAAGCGTTATCTACGTTTAGCTGTGATGGCACTTCTGCGGAGAGAAGAAGGAGGTCAACGACCAAGCGAAGTGAAAGTGGCCAAACAGACTACCTTGGCCTTCCTTTACACCACATGTAGGTCTTCACTGAGATGTCTGTGTCTCAGGCTCGGATACAAGGCATTGCTCCACTTTTACCCATAGGTAACGATTGATTTTCACTAATAACTGTACTGGTAAAAATAGTCAGATTGTCATGAGTGCAGGTGTAAAAACATTTCGAGTATGAAATGAACAATTGCTTAAAATTGTTCGTTATTTCATCTATGAAAAGTCATTTTTAAGATTTATAATTTCTTTTAGTAAAAACATTTATGCAAAATTGACTTAAGTTCTAAAAAATGCTTCAAAATCAGCAAACACTGATCCATTTATAAAAATCATTCAAATCCCAAGAATGTTTTTTTTACAATTTTCTTTGGTTTTCAGTTGTTACTTAGTTTTTAAAAAAAATTAGGCTGGCATTGCGTGCTTTTGCAGGAAATACAAAACTCAGCATGTGAAAAATTGAATCGATGTTTTTACCAACGACAAAAGATTAGTAACATTATAATTGTTAATTAACTGGTTTATTTAAAAATAAACGTGACTGAATCTATAACTATAGTGTTTGTTGTAAGACGTAGTAGTTGTCGGTAAAATCACCTAATATTTCATACTCCTTATACTGTAGTCTAGTTGCTTCGCTAATGGAACATCTTCCTACAATTTAACTATCTTTGGTATTAAACATAATATCAGTCATATTTTAGAAATATGACCTTATTAATTAAAAGTCATGTTATTCTTACGAATTTTATGCATTCAAATCTGAATAAATACTTAATCAATGTTCCAGAATGTTTGGAAATAGCAATACAGTAAAATTAACCTGCGTCGTATAGTATTTTACCATTGACGATCTGATATTTATTCGACATTTTTCAATCTCACCTCCAGTCTAGGGCAAAGGCATTATATAGAGCTCCTAGAAGAAGTCACCTGTGTTTAGTGGAAGGCCAAAGTTATTGTCAGGACTTTCCCTATTGTGGTCATTACCGCAGCGCGACAGAAGCGAGAAATTAAAACCGCAATGTTGTGTTGTGAAGGTAACTGTGGCAAGAAATATTACCTCGTATTACTTCAGATTTTTATAACTATACGTAATTCAACGTAGGCAGCTACCCCCTCTTTCAGCGAAATTGCAAAAACACTACACGAAAATTTGCATTTTACCTCAGTGTGCAATGAGACACGTCATCTAGTGGCCGTAATGGAACATTATCCTACGGATTATTCCATTTAAGCCACTTATTGAATTATATCGTTATTAACTAGTTGGCAATACAGTGTTGAACTGATTCATTCAGTGCCTTACCAATCAACAGGATGAAATGGCCTCGTTTAGTACTGTTACTATGCATGAGATTTGTTGCTTATAGTAGCATATTATTTCAAAACTTTGGCTCTAAGCTTTAAATATTTGTTTTAATGTTTATTTTAAGTTATAGTTAGTTTTATGAATTTTTATTGTATTATCATGACGTTTAAGAGCATTTGACATAGCCTGGATTATTTAAGATTTGGCTACCACACTAGACTTAATAACTACATACATTCAAATTTTATATGTCTAGTAAAAAAAGTTTATAAATTTTTTAAATCTTCTCTCTAATTATTCTTTGGAAATCCACTCGATGATTAATACGTAGATCTCTGAGTGACATGTGTAGCTTTTCGGGGCCAATAAAACAATGATAACAAATTCTCAAGTTACATTTTCATAATTTCATAAAAATAATTCAATCTTGGGACCTTTAGAACTAATACCATTCAAAACGCAATTTCATAATAAAGTCGTCCGTAGATATTTATTAAATTTAAAGTAATGTTTAAAATAGATTAAAGAGATATAATTCGATAAATGTTACTAATTCTAGCAGACTGAATACAGAACTGATAAATAAATGCGTTCCTCCATTACACTGCAAACAAGTCGAGACTATAAACATCTTTCTTAGAACAATAGAAGTCTGAGGTTAACGCAAAGACAACAAAAGCTTAACTTTTGAAGACTTAGGTAATTAGCCCTTTTGAAGTTGGTAGGTTCCCTATTGTCTTATCGGGTGCAGACAGACAGACAGACCCGCATGATTTGTGCCGATAACATCCCGCATGTGCTGAAGCATCACAAACAATAGCTCAGCACCTTGTATGCTCAAGTAATTAGGAGCCTGTCCAGGAACTACACAAAAGATAGGACGGCTCAATTGTTTGCTGAGGCAGCTTACAAAAGAATCATTTCCATTCCAAGTAATAATACGATTCTTGTTCAGCTATTCTTATAGCAGTAAAACTGGGCTTAGTTATGAACTATAATGAAAAATGTATTCTAACTATTTTGAAACTCAACAATATAGTATAAGCAAATAAATATTGAACGAAATACTTCTACAGGCTTCTTTGATTTGAATATACACTTGTAGTTAGAACATATACTTTCATAGCGTTATTTCATCTTTATTTTTAATGTAGGTTTTCTACCCATACTTTTTTAACATTTATTAAAGGTTAGTTTGGCATGGAGTTACTTAAAATATGTTTTCTATTAATAAGTGGTGGTAATAAATTTTCCATTAATATTTGTTAAACTATTAACCGGACAAAACCTTAAGTTAGAAATTGACATATTTACAAAGTATTCAAAAGCTGCCACATAATCCTATTTAAAGATTCCTGAAAAAGAACCCTTTTAAAACCATCCCATAGCAGCTTTATAAGTTTAGGAAAATTATATTAGTTGATTTCAATAGACATGTCCAAAGCCATGTTTATATAGAAATTTAAATAGGTTTGATTTATGGATTATGGGCTATCAACAAGACCAAACTCATTTGAGTCTTAATTTTAAAAGCAATCTGTTTCGATGAACGTTATTTTTGCGCACACTGATACAGTAAAATCAAATGGTTCTGAAACTTATAGCTAAAATTTTACTGTAACTGTCTGGCAATGTGGTATTCTTGCTTTGGTTGGTTAAACACAATAATAAAAACTTCAACACATTTGATTCCACGCATAGTGTGTTTTTATTTTATTTTGTAAACTTTTAAATTCCCAAATCTCACAGTTAGTGTTGAATTTTACGAATTGCATACACCAGGTGTAATTAACAGTCTATATAGGACATTGAGAACCTAATAATTGAGCAATAACGCTTAAACTCTCCTCAACAGGAAATTCCCATTAATATTGCACCTCAATTATAGCGCATCTATTATTGCCACCTGGTTATTGAAGGAGAGTTGTATAACCGATCGAAGAGTCCAATCAATGCAAACCCATTTATCAAGAAATATC